TCCTCAAAATCACACTAAGAACCAGACTAGACACAAAGGCAAATGCAAGCTTTGCTTTGAAACCACACTGCTGGGCTAGACAAAAGCACTAAAGGCAGCCACTGAACCCAGGGCACGTACAAATCTTTCCCATCTAGCTTTTTTCAGAGGTGGGTTACAGCTCTCTTATCTTCCACACCTGAGGCACCTAAAGGATATTTTATGCTTCCTGGCAAAGGACGTTGTCTATTTTATGGGTAAGTCTTTCCACACTGACAGCCCATCAGTGTAGGGGTCCTGTGAAATAGCTTTTCTGTGGTCAGCACATAAAGCAGGTGGTCCAATACCTCTCTAATGTAGTGTGCAGAGGGGATGAATTACTTCCCTGCTCAAGAGAACCAACGGTATTGCTGTGTGCACGAGAGAGAGACAAGGGAGAGCTGCCATCTGCTGTTGGAAAGATTCTGGTTCATCTCTTAGCCCCGGCACTGCTAAGGGTTGCAGGTGACTCCTGAATGCCCGTGACTGCCATCCCGGTGGTTTAGCACACACAGCAATATCTGGCAGAAAGTCCAGGAAATCTGCACCCGTCGTGCACTGGGGAGAAGTAAAGTTTGCTCTGAAGTGCTGCTGTTCTCATTTCTAACTCAAGAAAAAGACAATGGATATCACTGACTTTTTGAACCATCCATATCAACAGCAAAGCAAAGCTGGAAGGGATGGCAAAAACCACTGTGCCTCTAGGAGGGAGTTTAATGGAACAATCAACATTATTTTCAAATTTAAGCCATAGCTAGTTAATTAAGTGAGACCTGATCTCTACAATGATTTTTCAAAAAGATGAACACTCTCTATTACTATGGAAATGAAAGAAATGTTGATGTTCTATGCTTCTAAAATCTGGATACTTATGGTGAAAAAAAATTAGTAATCATCTGCTGAAAAGATATCTCATTTAATGAAAATTCACTTTGAGTCAATCAAAATTATTTATCAACTTCTGAAAACATGCTTACTCTTACTTTCTAAATGAAATTTTAAGCCAGTTTAGCTAAATGTAACATTCTTTTTTACAAGAAAAGACACCCAAATATTTACTATAAATTAAATAGTTCAGTTATTTAAATAGCATGTTAATCTTGTTTAACGCTTCAATCAAAAAAAAAAACAAAAAACAAAAAACAAAAAACCCCCAAAAAAGCCACGCACACTGAAAATTGTGCAAAGGTACTGCTTGTTTACATCTTTTTCCAAGAGAGAAAATGAATGAAGAAAAAATCCATCCATACCACTGCGGTGGTGCAATTCTCACCTCCCCTGCCCCTTTGTGATGGGCCACTTGGTGGTAAGTGTGACCCACCACCTGCCCCAGGCTGTGCACCAGCCTGGGGAGATCAGGGCTGCTAACAGCAGTGAAGCAGCAGGGCAAGGTGCCCCTGCGAGGAGCCAGGCTCCTGCCCTCCCTGTTGCTCGGAAATGGTTAAACGGTCCATCACCTCTGAACAGCCTGGCACGCCTGTACCTGGGATGTGATCAGCTGAGAACAATAACAGAGTTGCACATTCGTCAAATTCTTGTGCAGCTGATGGAAGATACCAGGATGCTTCATTGTTCGAGCCGGGCCTGAGCAAAAAGTTCACGACAAAAGTCAATTATCTTGGGCCCTATAAATCGCGACCCCGAGGGAGACCCTTTGAGCTCTCCTGGATCCCAGCGGGGCTGTGAGCAGCGGCTGCCCTGAGCTGGGACCCCTCTCGGGTATCAAAAGCCTGAAGGTGCCGGCTGCGTCAGAGCTGACGAGGGCCAGGGCGAGTCAACCCCCTCCAGCATCAACTATTGCCTGTGGAGTGACGCCCAGGCACTGTGAGCGTTCACTCTAAACTCAAGGAGGGAACTTTTACTTTGAGCTGGCTTCTCTTCCTCTGCTTACTGGTGTGTGGGGGTACATACTTCATTCTACTGGATCCGAATACTTCTGTCTCTCTGTATGTTTTGTGTTTGTGTATGCACATGAATATATGTATTGATTTAAGACACCATATAGTAACTTCAAGTGAATCTTGTCATCTTAGAATCTGTAGATAAGTTACTATTTTAATTATAACATTTCTTTTTCTGAATTATTTTGTGCATATTTAAACTGGTTAATGATCAAGTGTTGTTAGTTATTCATTAATTTTGATTTGCTGTTAAATCATTACCGTTTTAATACTTTCATCCGTGACAACCACCCTAGTCATTCGCAGGGGAATTATGCAATTCCCAGATCTTTTACAAGCAAATAAAAATACATATTACAGCAATGTGGTGCTGATTTGCTCTGAAAGTAAATAATTTTCACTTATTCTGTTCATTTTTTTATTGCAAATTGATATTTTTCCAAAGGACAAAATGAAAAAAATAATAATTCTAGGGTATATGTACTAAACTCAAATAATTTTCCAGTAGGAATGGTGACAGGACCGGTAACAGCAGCTGTAGATGAGTGTTCAGCCAATTCAGTTTTTTGCGCTGGTCAATTTTTGAGTAGTGAGGCTCTGCTCTAGTAGATACATATATTTAAGTGTCTAAATATAATCTTATAGTCCATATTTGAAGCTTTTGGTATATTTACCTTTATAAATAAAGACTGGGTCAATTTTTAAAAAATACAAGTTATAGTTCAAAAGTAAATTGTTGATTTAATAAAGTAATTATGGGGTAAATCCCAAGGCCTGGTACATGTCAGACAAAATCGTAAGACTTGTCCCCCAAACAGATTAACATGAACTTTGTCCCTATTATACTTCAGAGGGAAAAACTCTTAATCCAACTGTGTTAATACTTTTAACTTAAACTAGTCAGTCTATGAGAGGGTGTCATTTAGAACACGAATTAGGGATCTCAGCAGCAGCTGTCACACACTCAGCTGGGCTGAGTCAAGAGAAATGAATTTCGACAGGGGCAGGTAAAATCCAATTTGCAGGGCGGCTGTACCTCATGCTGACTCCTCCCGATTTGAAAACCTGCCCAAAACGCACCAGTGCAGATTTTTCTTGGGGTGATTCTGTGGGTTTTCAGCTGCGTTCGCTCTGGGATTGGGGGCAGCAGGAGGCACATCCAGCAGATGGGGCAGCCGACCGCGTCCTCTGCAGGGACTCGGCGTCAGCAACTGGTTTTCCCAAGGTGGGTTACAAGGGGTGCTGGAGAGAGAAAGAAACAACATCGTTATGTGGCAAGCCCTTAATAAGGTTACTGATGTTAGTCTGGGCAGAAGGCACTATGGTTTCTTCTGTTCCGAGACTTGAGGCTTTTCCTAAGGTCTGTGGCAGCTTCTGGTGCTCACCAGCTCTCCCACCGCTCCACTCACACCGCTGCAAAGGCGGTTTGAGCTTCGCAGGGCAGAGGCAGGTTTGCAAAACCCACGCTCCCTTTTCCCTCTGGATGTAAAGCGTGGGATGGAGAGGAGCATCTCAGCCTTTCCGCAGTCTGTTTGTGGCCTTTTCCTCTGAGAAGACAAAGGTGAAAATGTGAAGCTGTGCAAAACAAGCTCAACAGCTGAAAAAAAATGCTGAGCTCCCTTCAAAACTGAAAAGAGAGCTGGAACTCCTGAGGTCCCTGCAGCACAGGCTTGCTGCAGCTTAGGATGGTGCTGCTGCTATCCCAACAAGTGCCAGACGCTTTGGGGCTGAATGGCTGGCTTGCTGAGCTGGTCGGATATCCTCAGATATGGGTTGGCCACCACGGTAAGAAACTGCTCCAAAACAGAAAGAAAACAAATTTTAAAAATTTTCAGAGACTTGCCAATAAAGTTTCTTTGGCTCTACGTCTGGGCATCGCTCCCAAATTCAGCCTCTCACCCTCAGATAAAGCACTACAGCCTGGAATGAGTGACAGATGCGTGGGAGGGGAGCGCATGTATCTGTGCCTGGGCTGGAAAACATATGTACTGTAATGCCTAGAAAATGCTTTTTACTCTGGGCCTTGCTCCAGAAAACCTTTTTCCTTGCTGTTACAACTGCTCGCTGTCGCTTGGGACTGCCCAGATGTTTAGCTCGGCGCCGAGGACAGGGAGACCAGGGAGTTTTGGTTGCCTCCAGCCCAAACCTCTGCTCCTCAAGACGGGGGCTGAGAGGAGACGCTCAGCCCAGGCTGCGGGGTGACCTGTCCACGGCGACCGGACCCACGGCTTCTGGCTCTACCCCACACCACCAGCGGATCAAATGCCGCCTCAGCAGAGAGGGGGGACAACCCCACTACTCAAAAAGTCATCAAGACAAAAAGCTGACTTGGGTAAAAAATCTGCCGATGGTCCTGATGCCGGAAAATTGAGTTTAGTGCATATACTCTAGAATTATTCCACCATTTTATCAGGAGGTTATATTACTGGGTGGATTGATTGTTACTTTTTTTATGTCTCTTTCCTGGAGTTCTGTGACTATGTGGGGCTTTTAGCTCTCCTCAAATTAAAGGCAAAGACGAACCACCGCCATCAAACTGTGCACCCTTTGCCTGCCAGCTTGCAGAAAGGAGCTGGGAGAAAAAAAAAAAAAAAAATGCTTTTCATTTTCACATCACAATTTTTTTAAATGAATCTCTTCCCGGAGGGGTAGCAGTCGGCCTGCTGGCTGGAAGCCGGCCCGGTGGCTTTCACCGGTGAAATCAACCGCGGCGACCCGGGGCCTGGCCGGGAGAACCGGGGAGGGGTTAATCGAAGCGGGGGCGGGGAAGGAGATTCGGCTGAAGCTCCACGGCCCCGGGCGGCCTCACCCCGCCGTGGGCTCCGCGGGGGCCCGCCAAAGCCCCGCCCCCCGGCCGGTACCGGCCCGCAGGCCCCGCCCCCTCGGCCCCGCCCCCGGCCGGTACCGGCCCGCAGGCCCCGCCCCCTCGGCCCCGCCCCCGGCCGGTACCGGCCCGCAGGCCCCGCCCCCTCGGCCCCGCCCCCGGCCGATACCGGCCCGCAGGCCCCGCCCCCTCGGCCCCGCCCCCGGCCGGTACCGGCCCGCAGGCCCCGCCCCCTCGGCCCCGCCCCCGGCCGGTACCGGCCCGCAGGCCCCGCCCCCGGCGCCCCGCCGGTGTGCAGCGGGCGGCGGATCGCCGGTAAGGCCGGTTCCTCACGGGTGGTGGGGCCCTGAGCCGCCCCCGCGGTCTCAGGCGCCGCGGCGGGAGCTGAGGCGCGGCCGGGACCCTCCGCTCCCCGGGGGGTGCGGAGCGAGGCGGCTCGCCGAGCCCCCCCGCCGCCCCCCCCCCCCGCGGCGGGCAGGTGCCGGCGCTCAGCCCGGGGTGCCCGGTCACCGCGCGGGTGGGGGAGCCCCTTCCCCGAGCGGGGCGGGGGGTTCGGCAGCCCCGCTCCGCCCGGGGGAGGGGGGGGGTCCCACCGGAGCCGTGGTGCCGGCCCGGCCGGCCCTGAGCCGCCGTCGAGGTGAACTTGGGGGGGGGGGGGGGACGGGGGGTGGAAAAACCCCAAGATTGGTTCTGTCTGTTAAGCCCAGAAAACACCGGACAGCGGCCGGTCTTTCAGAAGCGCAGCTCCTAACCCACCCCCCCCCAAGCAACTTGTCAGTCGGAAAAATGCTCGAGGAGATGGGATTAATCTAAAATGACAAACGCGGTATTGCCTGGATAATTTACAGGTGCCAAACTGAGCTGGTTAAATCTGCCTTCCTTGCTTTACGTAGTTGGAAGCATTGTGTTTTTCACAGCATTAAATGGCCAGTTCCCGTGTTGCCGCAGGTCACGTTCTGCTCTTGAGCCGCCGCTGGGCCGGGGAACGGCCGAGCACACGGAAAGAGCAGGGAGCGGGTGCGCGTGAGGCGGGCAAAACGGTTACGGGCAATATTTAATAAGTGTTGAATATTATCTGTAACTATTTCGGTTTGTCTCCTGTATACTCGGTCACTGCTCAGTTAATATCCAGCAACGTCTGTGAAGTGTTTTTCTGAATATCGTTCACTAATTTAATGGCTTGCTTGTGGTGTGGGCAGATAGTTGTGTAAGTTTTAAGTAATTTTGTCTACGGCAGTTTTCAATTGTGTAGTACTGGAATGTGTTTGTTTTAACCTGAGCGTTCTTTCTCCTACCTTATCAGCTGTCTGTCTTTATTCCTACACAGGCCTTATCACAGAAGTATTTATTTATAATTCTTTCTTTGCAGGCTAATATCCCACACAGAAAGTGAGACTGAATAACATGCACATGCTGATACTGGAGGAGAGGCTGAAGGACATCCTGTTTTGATTTAGCAGAAGTGTTATTCTTTGGGGTGAAATGAAGAATTTGGTTCTGTTTTGGAAACATTCTGATTTCTAATGCAACTGAGCTTCAGTAGCCTTTTTTTCAGTACTGATTTCAACAGATGAAAAAGATGCAGAACCTGTCACTGGTAGAAAGTCCTACTAATACAGACACACCACACCAGATGTCTCTAAAAGACCTAGTAGTTGAAGTGGGTGGTTTGTCTCTAGCTGAAAGTGACTGTAACTTGGATGAAAGGACAAATAATGAAGAAATTGTTAATCTCAGAGTAATGCAGCAAAGCCTCTCTGTGGGGAATAGCAAAGGGAGAAGTTGTGAGGGGTTTTCTGAGCGCAGTTACAGTACCTCAGAGCTCAGCGGTTCCTGGGGTGATTTTGAAGGCTTCAAGGGGTCCTTAGACAAATCAGAGAGACTCAGGCATAATCTTGAAGTTTTGGTGAAGTCAGCAAAAACTAACAGCATTGATATGGACGTGAGCAGCGGACATTGTAGCACTTCTGCTGGTCACTTTTGTTCCGAACCATCTCTCCACAGTGGGATACAGGAGTCTTCCAGCTCTTTAAATGAGGTATGTGTTAATAGTAAACCAAAGAGCAGAAATGTTTGTGTTACTGCTTCCTACATCTCAAGATTTGTATCTGAATGTCTCCTCTATAGAGGATAACGCTGTACAGGGAGAGAAACTGTCAAGCTACTTTGCAGCTAACTCAAGTGGAACAGAAACAACTTCTTTACAGTGTTTGACAAATACTTAAGTTATCCTGCTGAAGAGCTTTAAAGACTGCAATGCACTGCTTTGCTCCTAGACACTAGGAATAAGTAAACACGTAGAAATGATGAACCTTGCCCTGAAGCACGGGCAATTTAAAAGCTGGACAAGAATGAGCACAGGAAACAAAAAATTGGGAAGGTTGGTGACAAAACCAGGGTGGACAAAAATTCTATGAGATGCCTGCAAGCTTATTGAAGTAAACCAATATAACATTGAGTTAGAAATTGGCAAAAAAAATAACTTTTGTTATTTAATATACTGCCTGAATTATCCAATAGTCTTCCTGGAATTTTAGATTGATTGTGGATGGAAGTTAATGACACAAAAAGATGAATAGAAATAATTTAGTATCATTCATTTTTTTAGCATAGGAAGTTATATTCTCTCATACAATGTTAGAACTAATAATCTGAATAAGCAATATAATGTGTCCTTATGAGCACAAAAAAACGTTCAGGTTAGGGGTTATACCTTGTTACAATTAATGCGTTTCTATGTTTACCAAAGATGCGTCACCAAAGTGAAGCAAAGTAACAAAACCAAAATAAGAATGTACAAATACAAAATAAACCACCCTCATTCTTACTACCTTTAGCCTAAATTAAAACATTTGAAAAAAGAGAGCAATCGACAAAGACTTCCCCAGGGTTAATCAGTGGCAGTAATAGCTTACTGCTTGTAGTTTGTCAGATGTGTTTTAGCATCTGTAAGGAACTGAGGGTTTTCTGGAGACAGCATTTCTTGCCCTTGCCTGGGAGCTTCACTTGTTGCAGAGGTATTACTAGGGAAAGCACAAAGGTGCACGTGGAATAAGCTGTCCAACACTGATAGAGTGGAGGTCACAAGATACTGGTATGCATAAAAAGAGAACTTAAATTGTTTGTAATGCTAGAAATTGGGAACAAGAAGTGTTATGTTGAAAAAAGAGAGTATGTAGTGACTGGAGCTGAAATAGAATATAACAGATTGTTTGGTTTCTTTCCAGAAGTGGTAGATCTTAATCTTACTGAAGCCTTTGATTTATTTTTGCATTTATTAAAGGCAAAAGGAAATGTCCAGTACAAGCTAAATAAGTTAGTCCATGCCTAGAGTTTCAAGTTGTCTTTTCTTGTCTCATGGTAGAGAAACAGCTGCAGAGCTGTTGGAGATCTCTTTGGATGTAGAATATATGCGTAGCTTGTCCTTCATCCCTCTGCTTTTCATATTGTCTGTTTGAGATCATAAACTCTTCAGGTTGGGGCTCTGTCTTCTTTATGGTCACTAGGAAAAAGTCCAGGTAGGTTGGAAAGGACCTCTAGAGATCATCTGAGGTCAGAGGTCTGACCTTCAATATATCTAATGCTTCAGTTAATCAAATGACGTAAATCTGGAGCAGAAGTGTGTATTTTAAGATGAAAACAATCACTCATTTCCTTGCAGTAGCTGGATATTTTGCCTACGTGACTGAATAACTTTAAGGATTTTTTGATTTTTCATGTGTTCTTTAAATCCTGGCCTTTGTGAGAGGGCCTAGTGCACTTGCTTAAGCACTGGAGTGTTCTGATATAATACAATATAGGGGATTTAGTCAAAAAACATGGATGTGAAATTCGTGCATTCATGTTTTTATAATTAGTACAAAGCCATGAGTTAAATGAAAATGTACCCAAATTTTGTTTTAGAAACACCCACTGGAGCAGACCATAATAAAAGTGATAAAAAAAAACAATCTTGCATTTTTCATCTGGGCTGGCTAAACTGTAAGCGAGTGACTTGTTTGCCTGTCGCAGGAACATCACAGGCTCCAAAAAGATAATACGAAGGAGGCAGACCTGTGCTTCTCTTGATTCACACTTCTGTGGCTGTGATTTTCCCCCCCGCCCCAAAACTAAGAGCAGCTGCCTGACTTCTCCTTGGCTCCCGTCCCATTTAGGTTTTGGTACCTACTTAGAAAATATTTATTTTTTCACTTGACCATGATTCTCCATGTATGCTTTAGCAAGTGTGCTTTCATGGAATTCTGCTTCTCAGACATCTTTCTCCTCCATATAGTATCCGTGTTCTAAGTTAAGTCTACTGAAAGAATTTACAAGTTGATTTAAAATATTATGACACTTTGGACAAGATTCAAAGGATTTTGCCCAGGTCTCTTTGAATGTTCCAGCAATTGTCCTTCAGGATAGACAGTTTAGCAAGGCCTTACTTCAGGAGGGAGCAGTGTGGGGCACAAATTCTATTTCTAGAAGCGTGCTCAGAAGTACAGAAGCCTTCTGCTAACTCTGTTGATTTTGCCTGCTCATCATTAGATTAAATCCGCACTCTCTCAGTACTCACTGCGCTTGTCTGAGTTCAGTATAATGAAACTGAGGAAATATCTCCATTTATTTCCGCTGTTTGAATTGCAATGAAATGAAACTGCTAAAATATGGAGTATTCCTATTTAATGTTTTTCAGACTAAGTTGTTGATTGCTAGGCAAAGAAAACAAACTGACTGGTTTCATTCTCTAGTTTTCACACAACATTGCTGCTCCTGGACTGCAGTCCCTCTGCAGGGTGTGGAAGTCCATTAATTGCTTTGATTTAGAAAACTGCAGTAATTCCTTCTTTGAAGGAATAAAAGGACAAAGCTTCTGGACCAGATGGCATGATAACATCCTTTTAGGATAGGATGTAAATGACACACATTTTTCCTTGTATATGTATTTCTTAGTCTTCAGATAAGTCTGTTACTTCCAGTAGGCCTGTTTGGATCACTCCTGTGGCTATGTTCAGTCCTCCAAACCTCCTCCTTATTACTGCTGGAGGAGGGGAACAAGTGTGTAAATCTGGCTCTAATTTTTAACATAGGCTGGAAAAAGTTTGATGGAAATGCAAGGATATAGAGACATACTCCAGCTTTCGTGCGAACTTACACAGGGCAAGTATTTACTGGTAGCTGTAGCATTTAAATAGTTATGTTACATTTGGCTGAATTAGGTGTGTTCAAATACTCAGTTAGCAAAACAGGCTTTTGAAATGATGTATACATCAGTTTTGACCTGGACTGGATTAGCTGAGCAGAAGGAGTATTCTTGAGTGCTAATAGGCAAACCAGTCTAGAAACTAAGGAGCTAGCAACTAAGGTTCGTCATAAACTCTTGCACTCTTGCTTCTCCTCCTCTAATTCTAGGTAAATATTCAAAACACTGAACTATGGGCTCAGTCCCTCTGTGCCATTAATATTAATACAAATTTGAAAAACAATCAATAACACAGTCTCTAGAAACATTGTAGTCTTTGGACTAAGTCCTTCATGAACTGTGGGGATGGCCTGTGTAACGTGTCATAAAACTCTGTTTTTTCTAGGCAAACCACAGCTATGAGGATATATTTAAGTTGGGCTTTCCAGAAGTCTTTGTATCACAGTCCAGAGAGAGCATAAGAAGCTTAGATCAAGTACTTGATACAAATAATGAAGATGTTGGGATTCCTGAATTTGTGAAGAATCAACTTTGGTAAAGAGTTTAGATCAACAGTTTAAAAAAAAAAAAAAAAAAAAAGTTCCTCAGCAATTAATTACATTGTTTATTTCATAATTTAAAAATCAGTGTTGCTTGCAGGTAAACTTAAAAATCTTTTTAATCTCATGCTCTTCAGCATATAGATCTTACCAATTAAAGGAAATGGATTGTGCTTTAGCCATTGGAAAACAAGGAAATGAATATATAAAAATCACAGATTCCTGTTCAGGGTTTTTCCTGCTGTTGGTGTGCTTTCTTATGACTAAGCCTCTGGAATGCCAGAACACCCAACAAGCAGCCTGCTCTTCCTGTTCCCTTGTCCTTTCTTTACAACAGATCCAACTTATTTCTCCATCATCTGAGGAAGGAGCTTTGCTGCTGCTGCTGCTTCTACCGACAGCCCACTCGCTTATTTCTTTTTCCTCTCTCCATTTTCCCAGGTGGTATCTTCTTCTCATGTTTAACCAGATGGGCTTCAGAATCTGTGGTGCATCAGGCTTCTTCCCCGGGGTTATGTTAATAGCAATTAGTATCATTAACTTAGCTTTCTCTTAAGACAATTGGAATGCTTTTCGATTTTGTTACATGTTTTTGAAGGATCAGCAGCTTCTCAGCAGTATTGTAGTTACTGAACAGTATTGTAGTTATTTTTGCATACATATGAGGCTTTGTATCTAGAAAGCTGGGACAGACCATACTCTGGAAATGTCATAAGGATCACAAGAAATACAGTTAAAACGTTCAATGCAGGCATCCTTTCAGTAAGTTCCTTTGTATGTGCATTATAATCAGCCTCAAACTTGTGGAGAAATATCACATATATGTAAAAGGGACTGCAGTATTATAGCAGAGTACCAGCTATAGACAAAAAGCCCTGATCTGCTGTGGTGAGTAACTAAGATCAGTGATAATTGCATCCTATACTAAGCAAAAAGCAACTGGATTTATATAGGATGAATGCAATGTAAGAACCCAAAGTGCTACGCAGAGGGAACTCTTTAATTCTCACTGTTTCAGTAGTGTGTGCCTTGGGCTTGTTTTGTAGTATGTGAGTGTCCAGAGCAGATGCAGGTCACCCACCTAGCACAGGCTGCTGCAGTGGAGAAGCATGCCTAATAGGAAGGAGAAAGGTTTGAGAGACAGAAAATGCAAAGTGCAGAATCAACAGGGCTGAACTCTACCCACATTTTGCAGAAGCAATTGCACAATGCAAGTTGTTGGCATATAACAATCTCTGAAACATGCTTCTAATGCACTTCTTATCTGAGAAGCCCAAACGTATAGTTCTGTTGACTTACTATTTCCATTGTCACGCAAGCCTATTAGCACGTTGGATTGATAGTCTGAACTAATGGAGAAAGCATTTTAAGATAAGTTGCTTTTTAGATCACAGTAGGCTAGTACACAACTGTACGTACTGAAAATAAGTTATATATGTTCACTGGAATCTGTACACCTTATAACCTCAAATTGTGTTTTCTTTCCTAGCATTGATTCTGGAAACATATGGAGAACACTTAGAGACTTTGATAATACCCTCAGTTTAAGACATCCTTGGAATAAATCTCATTGCCAAGAAAACCTCTTGAGTGTTCTTGGAATAGATGCAAATCAAAAGGTAATTGAACAATGGTTTGCTAGTATGCCAGCACAAACACTTGGTTATGAATCTGATTTTCTGCAAGCTATACGTGCAGATGCATGAGGAACTAGGTTTGGGTGAGTCAAGTTTTTTTGCAGAGAGCCTTTAAAAATGATAGTCTAGTATTTTCTCATTGTTATGAAATTGTGCAGGATCCAATTTTGATCGTCTTTACAGTGAGGTCTCCACTATGTAGCGCCTCGTTAGGTGTTTCGTTCACCTTCAGTACAAATGTAGAATTAGCTTTCAGATGTGTGTGCGCTAAGAATTTCCTTTTTTGCTCAGAGTATGAGAAAATTGTTAGCCTCTAATATCTTTCCATTAAGTGAAAATTAGATTTCAATTGGAGAAGCTGTTAAGTAATTACTGTATGTTTTTACTGTATACGAACTGAAAGTGTTCCACTTCTCTCTTCCTCAGATTATTCTGTTTTTGCAAGGCTTGAGGGAGAGTACGTTTTAAATTGAATTGAGACCAAACCAACAGAATTGAAAGATCTCAAAAAGAAATGTCTCTGTTTTATCTTGTTTTGAGAAGATAAAGGTATCAGAGATGGTTTAGTATTCAACCTGTTTTAGCTGGGATGAATTAGTCACATGTGGTTTTCAGAAGTAACTGTTTCAGCTGGTAATTTGCTGAAGCATGGTGGGGGTTACTGTGTTCAATTTTGATTTTATGGATGTATTTGACCTTTCATGCAAGGTATATACAAACAGAACGACAGTGTTGAAGGTACAGGACCTATTCTGCACTTGAAAGTTACTTTTACAGAACAGGAGAGAATGGGAGACGTTTCTCCAACACAGTTAAACTTCCCTTCTGTTCCTTTCATGCCCATAGATACACCAGCATTAAATCAATGCCCAGGCAGCTTAAATTTATGTCATTATTTCTTCTCTGTTGCTGGAACAGTATTTTAACAATACTGATGAAGATGTATTTCTCAGCTATTTTCTGGTGTAGGTTGAGACTAGTTTTAATTGGAAATGGCTTTTTTTTTTTTTTTAAAGTCACAATTATGTAGAATCATGTATATGGAATTTGTTTTGGCATAAAATTGTTTTAATGCAAGAGGGGCACGTGATAAATTAGAAAGTAGAATTTAGTGGTTATTGTTATTTGAGGGAAACTTCTCTTTAGGTTATATGCTTTGGGATCAGATAGAAATTAGTAAAGAACGTGTAAATTATATTTTATTAGGACTTTTTGGAGAGCCAGGATGACACTATTGAGGAATCAAACTTTAAAGATAATGATGACTTCAGATCTGATGGATTCGGTATTAATGACTGCAAAGCACTGATCCAGACTAAGGTAAGACTGGCTCTGAAAGTAAGCACTTCAGAGAACCAGAGTATATTCTACATGTTCTTAGAAAAGGTACAATATAATGTACCAAATGCAAAGCAACTTTATATGGGGGATAGTGAAATACAAGGTTATTCATTACATAAGCTGGACTTTGGGCCAAATTACTTATTGGTTGAGAGAGAGCAGAAATATATAAAATGTAGTCAGGATGCTCTGATGGCAAAGGAAGATGAGTGTGTCTGTAGAAGGATCAGCATGTCGATCACTGAGAATAATGATTGTAACTGACTCTTAAAATACACAGTAAGGGAGACATTAGAAGCAAAGCTGGTAGAAAAGAAATTGCATTCAAACTTGCGTCTCAGATATTTAGAATGATTCAGATTTGGCTTGTTTACCTGAGGAGAAAAGGGAGCTACTTAAGGAGGAAGGCAGAATTGATGTTATAAGGATTTGTAAACATTATTGTTTTTAAGCTGTGTTACAAAACATACAGATAAAGGAAACTGAAATACTTTGTTGTTAGTCTGTTTATGTCTTGGTCAAAGAAGCCTTAATAAGCTATGTTTCTTTCTTGCTAAAGCAATGCAAGCTGGAGGGAAAATTCTGTTGTTCTCTATTGCTTAAAAAAAAAAAAACCAAAACAAACAAACAAACAAACCAAACCAGTCACATTCTGTTTTTAACAAAGTGTTTTGAATGAATATTCTTAACTCAAGGTCCCTTCCTCAGTAGAGAATAAACTTGAGCAACTGTTGTTGCTGTGGAGATGCACAGTTTGAGGCACACTTGCATTGCTCTGTTTTATTCTATTTACTGCACTGGACAATGAAGATGTATAGCCATGCTGGGAACTTTATGTGTAAGAGTTGTTAGGCTGGAGAATTCAGAAAGAAAACCGAAAGAGACTGTCCTGTTTACTCCCTCATAATTCAGTTTTCTTCAATGAGTACATGGGTGTGGGATCACAGTAGCTGACACATACTTGGAAATGCGTAAAATACAGAGACGGAGTTTATGCAAAGAAGTGGTTCAGTAGATGAAGGACGAGTAAAGTAAAAAGAATCCCGATATAAAGTTAAGGTAAATGGACAGTATTTTTCTGGACTAGCCTCTGAAGGGAAAGAACAAGCCCTGCAGCTCGGTGTTTCAAAGTAAAGCTCCTTAGGAAAGGTATGTTGCCATTTCTAACTTTAAATAAAGTGATGTAGTGGGATGTGTTCCATTTATATTCCTAATTATGTTCCTTTTTTATTATGCTAATTTTATTTTTAAGAAAACTGTAGAAAAAATAGATAGAAATATGCAAAGTGATCAATTTTTTTTCCATCCTACAGTGAGTTAATTTAGTTTTTCTTTTTCACTCAGCTTTCTGTATCACCAGATTCCAGACATGGTCATCTTTTTACCTGTAACCTCTTTTTGAAAACCACATCGCCAAATGGAAACATGCAATATATAACAATCCCAAGGAAGAAGCACATTTTCACTGCACACAACCTAAAAATGAAATTTTTCAGTAGTGATGTTTGTTGAACCAAATGCACTTTTAATTTTTTTTTCTTTTTCTTTCTGTTGGAACTGAATGCAGTTTACCTTCATTTTGTTACTGGCTAGGTACTATAGACTACATGATATTCCTTAGGAAAGTGACATACTACTGTATATGAGGTACCTGAAGCCACATTATGAGAAGATATTTATTATATTTAGTTGTGAAGTCAAAAGTGTAATTTTGTCCTGCTAAGTTTTGCTGCAGTCAGGTCTCTTACAGTAAATGCAGCTGCAGTCACACTTTAAAGATACTCCGGTGGACTACTCTCCTAACTACTGACCTTTCAGGCCTTAAAATGCCCCTTCAATGAAAAACCTTGTTTCCCTGCCAAAATCTAAACACACCTCAGGTGTGTTGTGGTGTGCCTTGTCACCATCTCTCTTCATATTTGGTCCAGTTTGGATCAGCTGAGGTCTGTTACTTTGCCACTGCTGAATATGAGAGGAGCCTTCTACACCTGGTGGCTTTCACTGCAGTTTAGGAAAATAAAACTGTTTTAACTTCTATCAGATAAAGCCTACTGATAAGGGTAGAGTCAGTGAAAAGTTTTGTTCTGGCATTGGTTTCTAACTGAAATAAATCACTGCTATGAAGCTGATTTTAACAGGACTTCTTGGATTAATCCAGCTATCAAACACTTACACCACGCCTAACCACGCTTGTTAAAGCTTAACAAGCTCTGGTTCAGGACTTGCTGTAAATCACTGCCCTTTTAAAGTTTTATTGTAACTATCGACTATGTTGCCCCTCTTCCTGCATACTTGAGTGCCAGAGGGGATGCACTTCACTGTCGTTCCTATGATCCACGCTGCTTCCTTGCCAACTGCAAAAGCTTCATTTATTCATTGGTAATAACTTTTATGCAAGTTACTAAACCATTTACTGCTTTGGCCCTTCTGATTGAGAATTTTATATGGCTTTTTATTTTAAAGAGTTTCTAAGCACTGCAACCGATGTGCTAAAAGCAGGGAAAAAAACCCTGGATATTCCAAAACTAAATCTATTATTTAATGATGTGACTACTCTGTTCTTCAAATTAAGACTACTACAAAGCACTGGCAGACTCCAACCCTTAATCTAGTAAACTGTTCAGTGGTGAAATTAAGGTTATTATAACAACTTTAGCAATGTTTGTGGCACCTCAGTGCTATTGGCATAGGATGAACTGTGTGTTGGTTGCTCAGTAAATGGGAACAGGCCCTTTGGAAAAGTGCTGTTTGGAAGTGGCTCAGCAGCTTCCCTGGCCCTAGAGGCAGTTCTGCAGTGCCAGACTGAAAACTCCACGTGGATGGAAGAGCACGGTCAACTTTTTCACTTAACACTGGATTTGAATTACTTTTCAATTTCCTTTGTATGTCTTTCAGAACACTTAAACATGTATTAAATAGGTTGTAGTCATAAACTCACAAAAAAATAAATTGCCAATAAATGAGGAATGGATAGTTGAGGTTGGTAATAAACATTGAAATCAAGTAATAATCAAGTCCCATTTTTATGCTTTTGGAAAAGCAGGACCCTGCAAGAGGGGCTCAAGGAGGCAACGTGTAGCATGTATAGCACCAGCTGATGCACCATACCTTCCCAGTTTGCTTTTGCTACCACCAGACGACTGTATCCAAGCTTGTTTTGCCCTGTTACCCCACAACGGGGTGATTACATCATCTCTCCCTCATAGCAGCAGGTTTTTCAGCCCTGTCCAAGGTAGACTGGAGAAAAACGCAGTTTCAGCCCTTTATGATTCAGTGGGAGAAAAACCTGCTGGGGACCCAAAGGTGATGGGCTCCACCTTTCAGGTCTTTCTTTTCTGGAGAGTTGCTTTGGGCCACCCAAGCCCTTACTGCCCATAAACATGTGCTACACAGCTGAGACACCTTTTGTCCCCTGTCCTCAGTCTGAAATGAACAAGTTCGTCTCTTCAGAGAAAAAGACTAGCAGCTTTGAAATTACAAAATAATTCAATTCAATTTCATGATTGTGGAGTCCTGGCAGCCCTCCAGCCCTCATCAGAATTTGGACACAATCGGCATACTTGGGGGTACTCACAAAGATAAAATTGCACCGTTTCTCTTGACTGACAAGAGAGCAAGCTCAGAGACACAAGCCAAATTTTAGTTTCCTGTTTTCAGGTATATTGCACAGTAGAAAACAGCCTTGCCTTTGCTGTTCCCCTGGGCAATGAGGGGTGCCGGAATCCCCTCTGGTGTGTTTTGCACAAATAGCAGCTGGTCATTTCCTTTAGTCATTTGCTTGTTCCTGCCTTCCCCAGCGCCCAGCCACTGCTGTGCACCCACTCCTGCTGCAGGTGCTCCGTCTGTGAAAATGATGCACGGAGAAAATAAAACTTTTTTTCTTAGAATGCTTTAAACTACAGATTTCATCATTTCTAATCTCGGCTGTGAAATACTGAGTTTTGATGAACTAAACATGTTACTGTGCTCTGTGCTTGTGGAAGGCAAATACAACTTTTGACATCTGCTTCGGATTTTGAGAAAGTGAAAACTAAAGCAAGGCAAGTTTTAGACAGAGCTAGGCAGAAATGCCCTTTTCTTCCACTGAGATTACAGGGAAAATATACCCATTTTTAAAAGTTCAAACCAGTAATGTAATTACTGAGATGTTTCCTTTGTAGAAGGAACACTATAAATAGTTTTGCAAAAAAAGAACTACATTGTTAAAGACTGAAAACATTTCAATGCATATTCTGTTTGACTCCACAACAGAAGTAAAATTTTAGAGAGCTTATTTCAACAACCCATCCTTAAAATTGAAGAAAGCAGGAAGGCGAAGTTTTGTTTTGGAAACAGCATATTCCTAATATAAAAAGTCTTGTGAAAGTTTAAATGTTCTTTTCGAAGTACAGGGTCATACAGAACTTAAAAGCACTCTCATCGTTTAATAGTGAAGATCCATTTTTTAAGGGACTGTTAAAACTGGAGGGCTTCCTGAAGTAATCCTATTCCCGTTAAAATGGCAGAGGGAATTTGGCTAAAAGTGAGCTGCGTCCGAATAAATTTTTAAACCCCCAAACTTCACTACGGATCTGACTTTAACTTGCTGGATCCACTCTGGAGGATTCAAAGTAACCAAACCCAACCCACCCAGCCAGCAGATGCAGCTGGCTCCTCCCGAAGCGCGGGTGCGAGCCCCCGAAGCCGCCGTCCCGTCCGGCAGCACGGCCCCAGCCCAGCGCCCCGCGGGGGGAGAGGGGGGTCCTAAGGAGGGAAAAATGCATGGAATGAAGTTGCAGCATTTTTTTCAATAAAGGCAAGACGTCTGTGAATACGGGGCAAATACCTAAATGCCAAAAGTTCCAGGCTCCCTGCACATACTTTACAGACACATTTCTGCATCTCAGCCTAACTCTTCACCTTTAATATTGGTTTTTAATAGCTAAAAATTACTTTTGCAACTCGTAACTCTTATTCCTCACAGAACCAATGTTCTTCTATGCACTTTTATTTTCGCTTGAGCTGGAAAGTTTTATAAGTGTCACTTCCAGTACACAGACTAGGGAGCTAGACAGAGGACCCTGGGCAGTACCTGCACCTCCCTGGCCAGCCACATTTCACACCAGTGCTGCGCTGAGCTGTGCTGCTCAGCATGCTTTTTTAAGTTCAGACCTTTCAGTGCGGCTAAAATTGATTGAAGTATATCAAAGTATACCAGTTTTCAAACATCTCAACACGACCCAAAATCAGTACTTCAAAAATACTTTCTTAAAAGCCTAAACTGCAGCATACCTCCACTCCAGGACCCCTCAGGACAAGAGCGGGCCGGCCCCGCAGCGTCGGTTCCGTCCTGCTCAGCGGGGCGGTCACAGGGCTCACGTCACAGCGGTGACCACCTCACAGCCCAAACTCGGTTCCTGCGAGGAAGTTACTTCTAGACCTTCTCGTGCTGTGGTCAGCAGGTTCCAGGACGAAAGGTGGGAGGAATTCCTGGTCCGTCAGCAGCAGCCAGTGCAGTCTCATCAACAGAACGAAGCTCGTGGCAGGAGTCAGGATCTCATTTTAGAGCTCCGCACCAGGAAGAGGATGGAAACCTTTAAACCTGAAGTCACTGGTGTAATTTGTATTAGCAGAGACTAGCAAGCAGCCTTTCACCAGCACTGAGTGGCAGTATAAAAATACCGCAAAAGCCTCAGACTGACAAGTATACAAGTCTGAAGTGTCAACAGTAGGCGCATCAAGGAGACTCAGAGCTGACAGCCGCTTCGGAGCATGGCAACCCCTGAAGCAGCACAGGAAACGCAGGGGCCGGGAAGACAAAAACCAGAGGACAGCTCAGTGCTAATGTGTGTCACCTACTCACAGCAGGAATCCCTCCCACCCCACAGGCCGGAAAACAATGCTCTGTGGGGACAAGATGCACAAAGGGGGATGCCATGTTGTAGAAAAAGTTAGTTGAAGCTTAGAGCTAACAGCTTAAACGTTAAAAACAGTTAAGAGCAGACGAACCTAGCAACTTAAATATTAATAGCTATAGTAGACAAAACCTATAGGTCGTGGTATATGAACTGTAACGACTGTATTACAAAACAGCTGACTACAGAATCAGCTGACACCAACCTGGGAGGATGCGATATTGTATAAGACAACCACCACTTAGCAACCACTTGGTAGTAAAACAGCAAACAAATGCAACCAATAAAACGCAAGACCCCAGACCTTAATATTATTATTGGTCTGAATTCCTGTGTGAGGGGTGGGGAACCTGGACTGTAAGGGTGTAATTGCTCAGCGATTTCTTTGTTCAGGGTCCCTCCTTGGAGGCACCCAGCTTGAGCTGTAGCACTATTAATAAAAACAACTTTCATAAAGGAATCTATCTTTCAGCTTGTGCTGAAACAGAGTCGAACCCTGCTCTGGTGGCTGACACATGTCATTTCCCTAACAGCGAAACTGTGTAAGGTATTCAGTATTTCTGGGGAGAAAGTAAGGGGAAAAAAAAGAAAAGAAAAAGGTACAAAAGCAACCACCTAGGGAAAATGTTACAGCTTTGTGAGTAAAAGACCAAATGAAGGGTGGCAAGGTGTTTTTTTGTTTTGTTTTGTTTTCAACACAGTCAAATACTGCAGGCTTCAAAATAGAAATGGTTAAACTGCAAAACTGTGGCTTTATTTCCAAACATACAATAAATAGGTCCACCACAACTAGCCTCTAACTTCATTTTACATGGAAGGATTTTAAAATTAGTTTGTGCATATTTAAAAATTAAACTTCCCTTTGCACATAATTCCATACATAATCAAACTGCATTACATACCAGTTTATGGTCTTGGCACTGTGATGCAAGCAACCAATTAGAAACAGAGCTTTGTAGCAAGCACTTGAACAAAAACTGCATTTTGAATTGTTGATAAAATCTCTACCAACAATTTAATCTTCTGAAGTATACAAAAAAATTTAGCGTGTAAATGCTGAAAAGCAAGTCGTCTTCTCTTATGTTCCTGAAGGGGCTGCAAGGTGAGCAAGTGGATTTATTAAGTGTTCACTATTTGCTACATGATACAATTTTCATACCAAAATATCTTTACTGCATAGTCACATACCGTATTTTCAAATGCAAAAAGAAATCAGATGCAGTCTTTTTATTTTATCCCTCATCACTGAATTTAAAGACATTTTTAACCACAACTCTGCTTCATCACAGTGCAGAAGGCCCTTAATATTTCAAGGATTTATTCAGTCATATCTTTAATACAAAAGTAGAGGCTGAGGAAAAGCCAGAGTAGTCTATACACAATGCACAATCTGTGTACATTCCGAAGCTGTACCTCCTCAAGAACTATTTATACACTCTTCAAACAAATCCCTTTATCCAGCAATTCAAAATACTTTAGATCAGAAGTTTTATATTAGAATCAATACATTATATGCATATAAATACATTTATACCCTTCGGTTGCTAAACAACCCAGATGGCTGCAAGGATGTGACCTGAACTGGTTCTCCATTGGTTTGGGATACCAAATTGTATCGGCAGCTGTTAACCAAAAGAGTCACAGTAAAAAAAAAATGGAGATCTTTGCACAAGGTAGGTGTGCCAGAGCATCAGTTAAGACTAGAAATATTAGGTGACACCCTGGCCCCTGCAATAGGGCCAGGATTTCAACTTCTGTGAGATGCAACACGCAGGCAACATTTTTTTTTAACTCTGCCGATGCTCCATTCATAAAAAGTCTCAGCAGAAGAACAAAAACACAAACCCAAAAACCCAACAAACCAAAGCAAAGCTTTTACAACTGCAGATTTTCTAACAAGACAGGTGCTGCAGCTTTCAAGAACAAAGTAAGAGTTTCATAATTAAAAAATAAACCAACCCAAAAACTAATGTGCAAGTGTGTAGTTCAGAAGACGACAGCAAGGATCAATACAGACCTCAGTTCAAGCTGAAACACGGTATCCAAACTGCCTTAGGGAAAAATAGCTCTCACTGCAAATCTCACCTTCAGTTAACCAGTGTGCCAGTGCACACCCACCCACCACACACACGCACCCCCCTCCTTCCCCAGTGCAACCTGCAGCAGCCGCCGCCCCAGCGCCCACCAGCAGAGCTGCCTGGCAGCAGTGCTCGCCACAGATCACCCAGCGTTTCAGGAGTATTCAAAGCAGCAAGCACTGTTGTAGTAAGAAGCGTTCTCAACTTTGTTTCTTAAAGGATACAGAAATGTTGACTCTCATGAGTATCTTCCAAAGGTGCTAGAAGTTTTAAGTTTGAAGCGTTTCTTTCCACAATGCCAGGTATACAAATGTGTATCTTTTTAAATAATATTGCACATAAAAATCTTAAACTTTGTAGTGAAAGCAGGGTTGAAGGACAGTGTTTTCCAAAACAGATTAAAAAGCTACCTGTACATAGTAAGTTTTAATTTAAAGAACGCCAAGATTACTCAAAAATCTAAGCACGTAATACTGACAGAAAAATGTTAAATTGCACAATCTACATATAAATTACATTTGTAAATACTTAAAAGTTTTTAAACATTGAATACCCTTGATTTCACAAATCAGCTAGGTCACTGTCAAAGGATCAGCTTAATGAGTTAGAAGTACTTTCTCTCAGAAAAAAATAGAAACAAAAAGATCTGCAGTCTTAGACGAAGCACTGGAAAGAGTTAAAGCATTTCAGCTCAGAGGTAGTGCTAAACACATCCAACTAGAAGTCCATTATATTCGAACTATGATGAAATAACGTAGTAAAATGTAGAAAGACTATAAAATTTACAAAAATAAATAGTTCTGAATGCTTTAGAAAATGCAAGAGACTTCGTTGATAAGTGTCTTGATCTGCTTTTCTGATCAAAAGAAAGCAAAGTGTGTCTCATTTTTAAAATATACCCATCTCTAGTAATGCATCTGCAATCCACACAATCCAATAATGCAACTCGACGTATGCCAACCTGGCATAGACTCTGATATTAAAAATAAAGTGGAGGCTTTGTAAAAGATCATCTCATATGAAATTTGTTTTGCATGTAAATTCTTCTGACAAATTAAAAATTGCACATAAAAAAGTTTATTGAAAGAGGCATGAGGGGTGATAAGGGTATGCGCCTATTGTTCCACATACACCCTGGAAGGAAAAAGATGATTGCACAGTTCTGATAAATAAATATTTCTCTTTTTTTTTTTTTTTTTTTTTTTTTTAAATCTGCCACTTTTTTGGTTTATAAGTTTTGGAATTATTTAGAAAATCCCACTATGGACAAATTTATTTTTAGTTTGTGTTTTAAAGAATTCTTTACAACTTTTCCAGTGGCTTTTATCCTGAAACCAAACGAAAGTGGCAGTTAGAAAGTATCTTTGGGTAAAACAAGTATCAGGATCCAACGAGAATTTCCATGATGTGGTCCAACTCACTCAGATCTGTTCTACATATCTGAATGTTACTTGCTGAAGAAGAATTACAAGATGGAAAGGTTTTCAATGGTTCTTCTGTAGCAAGAGATGGTGGTCTGGGCGGCATTAGCGGAGGGCAGCAAAAGTCCGAATCATACATTGAAGTGTCAATATCTTCAAAAATGTCATCTATTGCCAAATCCTTCAAGTAACTAGTTGAATTTGAAATCTCAAAGGAACCAAACACACATTCAGCTCCCTTCAAATCCTGTCTATCATCTTCTAGTTTTAGACCAGTATTTTCTGGAAACTTTGGCTGGTCATCTCCAGTAGGAACCAGACAAGTAGGTGGGCTTATATCTTCTACAAAGTCTAAATCCTTCAGAATAGATGAAATGGCAGATGACATATCATCATCTGAAACTATCAGCAGGCTATTTTCAATTGGGTCTTCTACAGACCGCAAGTCGCAACAGTTAGACTCTTGCTGACTAGTACCTGAAGGCAACTGAAGAGAAATCCCAGACGATTCCATCCCTGGGTAGCTGTGAGAGCTAGGAGTAATGCCAGGGCAGACATTAATTGGCTGCTGATTACTCTCTTGTCTCATCTCCTCTTGAATTTGCCGTACTGTGTTGGCTATGAGGACAGAGCGGTGCAAGTTCGGTTCCACCAGCATTTTGTACGTCTGTAACTTGGTGAGGCACATATTGAGCACCAACTGCCTCTTAAGCGGATATGGCAGATTTCGACTGGAATCAAAGGCACTCGAGAGACCAGCCATGTTCTCCTCATAGTCACTCAGCTTGCGCTTTAGACCTCTCCCCAACATGAACCTGAAAGAGAGAAATGATAAATTAACCTTGGGCAAGACTGTCACTTCTTCTGCAAGATCTCAACAGACGCCTTTGAAAAGTCTGTAGCATACAATCTACTGGTTAACTTAAAACTCTAAATGCCACAGAACACCGAAAGACAGAATAAAATCCTGCACAAGATACTACTTTCATTGCAAAGATGCACTTTCCAGCTCTAAAAAAAATTGTTGTGAAACAATAAACAAAACCCATGAAAGACAGATAGTAACTGTTTTTTAAAAAAGTTATATACTTGAAAGTTTTGAAGGTTTGCTTTTAACTCTACTATGAGAATATTAATTTAAACATTTAAAATCTTTAGTAGGTCAACTTTTTAGCCTCTTATTGACTTAAATTATATAGCATACAAAAATTAATGATTGAGAAAGATCTGAATGTCCACAAGAAACAGATGTTTATACTAAGGATTATAATAACTATACAGAATATTTCAACATTTTCATTTTAACACTCATTCCTAGGAACAGTAGGCAAGATTTTAAAGCTAGTTTCAACACCCGTTTTTATCATTAAGGTATTCTTAATGTCTTGCTCCGTGTCACTGAGAACTCTCTACAGAACCAATTTCTCTCCCTCTTTGGTGACGTAAAGTTGCTTTTACCCAACAAGACCAAACAACAGGGCCTCCCATGGGATCCTGACATCCATTCCATAGCTTAGTAGTTTAGCTAAACAGTGGGAGGGAATTTGGCCGGGCCAAAGAGCTCACAGAATGCTGAGTGGTATTTGTGGCTGCTGGTTCACAACCTGCTACGGACTTAACACTAAGGACATCCAGCAGGAGGCTATCAAATGGCATTTTAAAAGTGACCAATTTTGGTCAACAGCTGAAAGAAACGAAACAGAATTTAGTTGCTTTCAGTCTGTTTTGTGTGCTTTTGCATTGAAATATGGTAGGTCTAGAACACTGTGGTACAAAAACCAGTATGCATGCACACCTAAAATACATGTGATCCAAACAAATACATGCTTGGGTACTTTGCAATTACCATTCAAAATGCAGTGTTTTATTAGGGACAACAAGCACTATGCAATCACTTGTATAAACACAGAAGAGGAATATACCATGCACAGGAAACACTGGTAAAATCTTGATTACACACATCTTGACGTGTCCATGGAATACAGACACCTCACTCTCAAACAATTAAAAAAAGTAAGCAATCATAGATTAGACACCCAGTGGCAGATAAAGGGCAGATCCTTCACACACAGTGATCCAGACCCTGCACGCTGCAGAGGGCCTCCCAGCTTCCTTTTCATGTGAGCACTAGATACTGCCAGCAACAGCTCAGCTGATTGCCGCAGCTGCCAGCTGCTAGCCTGTTGCTAGACTTTTGGGGACAAGGAGAAGGCAGCAGGATAAAGCCTCTTTTACTTTTGGGATTTCTCCAGATTTGCAGGAAGCACTGCAGGGCTCCATGACTACATCCATCTGCCTAGACAAGACTGGTGGAGAACTCGGCTTCTCTGGAGGAACAGAAAGTAAGCAAGTAGTGCGTACTTCTCAGTAAGACACACAAGAAAAAACAGACAGTTGCTACAGGGGTTTAGGTTTAAGACTTCTTGATCATACCCACTTTTTTTTCCTTTTTAGAGACATATCTGGATGAAATTAAGTTTATCGTAGGAATGCATTTTTGTGTAACAGGTAGTAGTTTGGCCTAGAGAGTTTGGTTTACTTACATGTTCACTATTAAGACAACAACAAAAAACTTTTAATAACTTGTAATTTTACCAGTGCTGCTATTTTTTAACTTTGGAAGTTAGTTTTACTCCAAAGTTTTCTGCTAAACTGCCACAGCAGCAGCTGAATCTCTTTAAAAAAACAAGTGTCTGGATGCCGTGTGCCTATTCACCTAGGTGATCTTCCCACACTTATCACGTATCACTCCCCCGTTCCAGCACCCCATTTAGAGCAAACAGAACCAGACAGTACCGAGCACTCAATTATAAACAAAATCACAAGAAATCTGGATACAAAGTTCAGGCATCAAATATAATAATAGAAAGTATTTGGGGGGGCAGTGTGTGTGTGAGGCATCCTCAGTCAAACTACTGACACCACCATCAGCAAGTGGTAATTTTAGACACAACCTATGGAAAATCAGTTATGCAGGACTTTAAAACTGATGCTAAATATACCAACTCATACCACAAAGATTATTAGTGTCTGCAAACCACAGAAAACTCACAACAAAATTATTAACTCTCCATTTTACATAGCATTTAAATGTTGTGTACTACCTAAGGCATTAACCCATACCATCACTATAAAGAATAAAAATATACATAAAAATGGCTATTTGTTCACTAAGCACCATCCTTCCCACTACACCCTAGTTTGTTTTTTTTCTCCACTAGCTAATTAAAACAGACCAAAATTCACACTCACAAGGGAACAAAATTAAGACTGTAAAGGGAACAGTAATCCTGACATTTTATACATTCAGCATGGTTTTGACACTTTTAACATTTTAAAATATATATTTAGACTGTTAGACACAGGAAATACTAGAATTATCTATTTGAATTATATAAATAATGTTAATTTCTAACATATCAAAAATGTACTAGTTTTTAAACTCTGTAAGCAAGCTTGAAGAGTGAGCAAACCATCATATACGACAATATATAGTTTCATGAGATCTTAAAATGAAGTGTTTAACTTTTAAATTCACACAGTAGTCTAAGTAGACTAAATATTTCATGCAGACACCTTCCTTTTCATTTCTCAAATTTCCTTCATAAAATTTGTCCCAGAACATTCTAGAAACACGTAACAAAGCTTGAGCATGACAGCACTCTGAACTATAAAAATGAAGTGCAAGACACATTATTTGCTCCAACTTCAAATGTTTCTACTTAACAGATTCCCCACTCTCTAGATGGCAAAGTTTTTTATTTTTTAAAATACACATAGTCCTATCTTATGCTTTAGAAATTCTGCCTGTTTAGTATGATTTCTGCCTAATTGCAAGGATCCCTGCACAAGCTAAATGACTTCAGACCTTACATAAAAAATTGGAAAGGGCTAATGAAAACCAGAGTACCACTGGTATAGTGGATTTAAAAATGACTAGTGTCATGGTTGCTACAGGAGACATTAAATTTCAGTTCTTGTCAAACACACTCAGCTGCTGACCTACAAAAGATACAAAGCCCCTTTGTTACCAGCTAATCTACATTTTATCAGGCCTTTTGCTTTACTTTCTAGCACAAGAATTTCTGACAGGGTCATATCCTTAACAAACTACTCCACACTTTCAAAGCAACTTGTCCTTTTGTACCATTGCGTATCAACACACGCATCCCAAACCCGAAATTCACACACCAGTCAAATACTATACTCTCTTTTGATAGCATTACTTTGCAATATAAGATGTTGATCACGTTATTTAATTACACAGTGCTCTCCCCACTTCAGTGTTTGGTACTAGGGAAAACAAACAGAAGTCCACACAAAAATCCAAGCTACCATGCCCAGACAATCCTGTATTACTGAGTGACTGCTGCACAGTTGTCAGTCCTTTCAATCAGCTGACAGCACGGCACAGCCAGTTCAATGAAGCACAAGTTGGGCACACTAAAACACAAAGAGTGGCTAGAAACTGCACCCTCCTTACTCCCGCCTAGTTTCCAGGAACCTACTCAGATCTCAAAAAACTGGATCAAGTAACAGGATTTCGGAATGTGCCAATCTGATAACTCTGTAATTTGTAAGTAAATAAACTGAACAAAAATTAAAGTTTATGCCAACTTCAAATGTGAGGTCTATACATAGCTGTTTAATAATAAAGAAAAAAGCTGTAAGTCACCCTTCTCTTGAACTTTAAGAAAAAGTTCAACAACCAAATTTTTTTGAGTTCAGATGCTCCATTTTAGAATCTTTTGTCATGAAAAATACAAGAACAATGAAGAATGCCACATCTCAGTTTGCCCTTTTTTTTTTTTTGGCATTTTCTCATCTCTCAATTATAGTAATGCAAACTGAGCCACAAACCACTTATAGACAAATGCTTTTTTAATTAAAATTATTTTGCAGATATAGAGAAAAGGAAGCAAAGTGAATTCAGTGTCTAGGAGTGCCAAACTCTCCATTCATGTCACTGAACTCCAAGTGTCTGTACACAGAAATTTTGCCCCGACTGCACGTTCCCCAGTTCCTTTCAGTTCCATGGAGGACATTTAATTGAAAGTCCTCCCTACTAAGATGGGAAGAAGCATCCGTGCACTGTAATCCTACACCATACCAGGGTTTGACAAAACTTGGAGGGAAGATGCACATCCCTGGTTGGCAAATCCACACAGAACACCAAACAAACAGGCCTAGTCAGAGCGTGCAGCTACTCAGAAGAAACATTCTAGACTACCAAGAAAAATTTACATTGTGATGTGTTGTGAACAGTACAAGACTCATGCCACCATTTCAGAAGAAACACAGCTCCATCTGTCATAGTGTCCGATAGTGCAGTGCAGCTGCCACTGACACATGGCTAGAAGTACAGCTGGAAACAGTCATAAAGAAGAATGCAGCATGTGAAACCCCTCAATTACTTCTATCTGGGCAAACTACTTCTTAATTTCCTCTTCCTCACCTTCCAAAAAAGGTTTTAAGAGCAAGTTAAACAATGTTTAGAACTCAGAGCTAGAGAGCTTTAATTTTCAGCAGAGAAAAGCTTCAAAAAACACGAGTATATAAAACACAACTGCCACAGTTAGTATTGTCTGAACACAAACTTTTCATGCACAGGACAAGCATGATATTCAATACACGAGAGTTATTCATTTATGACTGAAAAGTAGCAAGACCATCAATGAAGTACCTGGCCTGCACTATGCAGGTCAAAATAATTTCATTGATAGTGGTCCCTTCTGGCTTTTCTTTTTAGGATATTATTAAATTCAGCCTTGCTTCATCCTTTTCATACAGCCAGCGTCGCATTTTTTCAGCCTAACACTGTCCCAAAGTGAAAAATTACTTTTTCTTGTAGGATAGAAATATCAGATTTGAACAGGTGTAAGCACCTCATGAGTGAAAGCTGCTGGCCTAGTTTTCAGTAATTCAACTTAAGCATCAAAATAAAAATTAGAGACTTCTTGCTATTGTAATTTGGGTAACTCCCTTTCAAAGTCTCCTTTGGCTCATAACTGTAGAAAGCATGTAATAGTAAAACCAGACAGAAGTCTCTTTGGATTGCAAACTTGTGTTAGTGATGGACCGAAGCTGACTGATAACCTCATTTTCTGCTCTCCCCTCTCTTCCGCAGACACACATTTCACAAGCACACAGCTATCTGCAGGAAGTGCAAAGGAAGACAAACATCCCTACAGTTATGGTTATTTGCCAGAATTATTTGATGTATGCCGCATACTATTTTTAATGATAATCCTTCCTCTACCCAACATAAGTTTTAGCTTAGGCAACACAACTTCATTAATAGTGTTAATTAAGTGGTGGGCTGGCTCTTGACTAGTATTCCACATATAAGAAGCTGCACAAGAAAAATGTAAGGCTGACAGTTAACAGACACAGTGCAAATCCTTTCTCCCATCCGGACTTAACACTGATCACTTAACCATGACTTACGTAACACAGTAAGCTGTCAGACTACACAGAACAGGGTATCTGATCTGGTGTCCTCAGCAAGTGCTGGAGATCCCTGTAACATCACATCTTGGCTGTTAGCAAAAATCAAGAGGAAGTGAGGGAAGGAGGACTAAACACATTAGAAAATACTAAAGTAAAAAGTAATTTGGACCTGAAGACACTTTAAAATACATAAAAATGTATTTAAGTCCATTGCCTCGCCACCCCCGCCCCCGTTTAGCCTAGATGAGTAACTGTTGGGGAAGGCACAAGCGGCTAAAAGTGTGCATACAGGGAGGAGTGCAGTTCTACCAGCTTACTCCCATACCTAAACTCCTATGTAACAACTTCTTTAAAGGAGTTAAAAATGACCAGAAAATAGCTGCTCAAAGAAGGCACAATTAACATCAACATTTTGATCACCAAATCCTGACCTATAATACACCTAAGTCTGTTACTACTAAAGCAACTGGAACACAGAGCCAAGATACGTTACTATTCAGACTTAAAAAACCCCAATCAAACAACACCCACCCCCACAAAACAAACCCCAAAACTACACATAAAAACCCCTGCATCTATGGATGTACCTAACATCCTTTCCTGCATTTTGAAAGTAAGAGGAGGCTTAGTATTAAGTAGAGGAAAGGAATGAGAGGAAGACTGAGTCTGGCCCAGAATTATTCTGGAATTCATAACCTTCCCACTGTCACTTCGCTATTTGTGGAAGCAGAGAATGAATGTGTATCATACACTAGTATTTTAGGAGCTGAAACTGTGTTTACAAAGCACTTGGGAGTTTTACCTTGACTAAAAAGTTAGTTTTAACTTCCCACACACAACCTGTTTATGTTATGTCTAATTGGATTTGGAAAATTTCTGCTCTCAAAGGACATCTTCCTAAGTTCCTTACTTCCATTTTACTTCATAAAGCACTGGTAAGAGCTTTGCTTTACAAAGTAGTGCAGCTAAGTTTTAGAGCACAACATTTCACCCTGGAAAAGAAACTCCTGTGTTAGGATGTGTACCTTCCACAAGCTAAAACAAGTGGGTATGGTCTGTTTACAACAGTAAATGAATCATATACTCATCAGCTGACATCTATCACCAGAGGCTAATATAGAAAGCTGCTCAGGCAGTACCAGTGTGAGGTAGAGAAAAACTTCCATCCTTAAAAGAAAACAAACTAAACCATCGTCACTCTTCTCCTTCCTCCCTCCTCTACACTTGTGTATTTAGTTCCACATTCACAAATAAAGCTCACAGGTGTGTATTTTTAATGAGAGTGTGCTTAGCAGATTATTTTTTTTTTTAGAAGAAGGGCCCAGAATCATTTAAACTAAGGATCAATAGTAGTTAGCAAAAGCTAACACATGATCAAGAGTTACTAAATCTAGAAACACCCACAGTAAAACTGAATTGTAATTAAATGAGAACATAAAGGAATACAAACAAGAACCAAACCACCAGGGTTCCACCAAAGTACCTCACCGGAGGGACAAATGATTGTTAGAACTGCAAGTGTGATGATATACCTCTTCATAGCTGGTTCTAATCAACTGAACAGTTCTCAATCCGTTTTCTTTACAGTATCTATTTACTTCAAATACAGAGATACTGGATGCATTCATCTACTTAACAGACACGTATTTTAGGGTTACAGTGATAAATAAAGATCCATTAATAACAGAAGTCATAGCTTGACTGTATCAAACCAGCATGCCCATACTTTAACAGAAAAATCAGACCATTAGCAGTAAAAGCAACCGAGAAAAAAGAAAACAAAAACCCCAAAACCACTCTCTTCCTGATAGAGGACCATGCATTTACTCTAGCTCTTTGCATGGGATATTTAGGTAAGTAATTTTCAGTAACAAAACCAGAAATCACGTTAAATCTTCTCTAAGAGAGTAGCAAAACTTTTCTTCAGTATCCAAAATGCCTTCTCCTCACCAGACAAGACTGTAAAACAGTTTCAGCAGCTGAACAGTGGCCCTCACTGTAAGACTGAGGCCTTAGTTAACAAATTTGCAAGAAATGTGATCTTACGGCAATATTAAATTCTCTGTTACATTATAACACTTTCCTGCTATAAAGGAAAAAATTAAAAGGTAATGCCAATTCAGAATACTCAAACCAAAGATCTTATACTATTGGGGAAGCATAAAGCATTTCATTTTATATTATATACCCCATTATAAAAGATTTATTTTTCAGTTTACCATTCTAACCCACAAAAGTAACACCTACAGCTGATTAACATGCACTATGGACATAAGATGTGACTTCATAAAAACATAAAAGTAGTTACCCTTAGAAAACAGAAAGGAGTCCAGGAAGGAAGATTCCAGATTTTGCATAAAGTGTAGTCATCCAAGACTCCTGAACTATTCAAGAGGCCAAGCCATCCACCGAGGTAGGATGATGTAACTGAAGGGGAAAATGGAACAAAAACAGAGTATTTCATTACTATGTGATTATTCGTTTTTAAACCAGAAGTATTAAGCACACAATTCAACTTTTTAAATGACTTGTGCTGAATCCTACTAAAACAGTTAAACTGAGTAAGAAAAACTGAAGTTCATGAATACACTGAAATAAGAGGACCTAATAGTTTCACCTATAGACACCTAAAACGTGGAAGTTATCTTTCATAAATGAATACTACAGAATAGAATGCTGATCCTCTATGTGTTGGGTTTTAGGATAAGAACTTGCATTGGTAATTCAGGTTGCTAAACACTGATTTACAGTTGTAATAATCTCAGAAATCACTATATCAGGAGAGACAATACCATGAACTGTAAAGAAGTACATTTCAGAATTAACCTCTGACATTCACAGGCTACAAAATTAATAGATTTTTATTAAATTTCTTCACTTTCCTCATTTTCAGCATACACAAAACCAATATGAGGAGATAGCTGGCAGGATGACCTGTGACTGCATACAATATTCAGTGTGGCACCATTTTCATCAAAACCCTGATAAAGCAACATCTGCAGTTTGGCAAGAGACCATATGGATTACATCAAAGCACTGAAGACTCTGGGAAACGTGAAGAGGCTGAAGTGGCAGTCAATTATGGACTAGGCTAGGAGATATGGAGGGAATTGCATGATCCATGCTCGTGAGGTCTCAACTCCACCCGAAGAATCAAAGTTTTTTAATTCCAAGAATTAAAGCCCTTATACAGGCTAACAGCCTACCATCTGGATTGTATTTAACATGTTTGTGTACAATATACACACATACACACACAGACACCTGCCCCCCTGACTCCTACAGTAAACCAACTGCTTCACAAATTTACCCCAAGAGCAAGGATCAGTACTCATCCAGATAAATACAGTCCTTCATGATCAAGGATCAATTCATATGTTATTTTACAAATCTTAGAATAATACATAGTGAAAAGCTGTCTTACACTTAGATAGACGGACAAGTAAACGAATACAGTTCATCTTACATAGCAACTCACAGCCTGATGCTAGCAAAGGGGTCCTTCGTTTAGAGAATCTCAAAACTGTAAAGATGCAGTAAAACAGCAGTAAAATGCCCGTCACCTAAGAGTGCCAAATCTAATCCACAGCAATAAACACATTAACATCTCCCTCCTCCTCCTCTAGAAGCCGACTTCTTTCCATCATAAGGGCATACATGCTATTTGTAAATTAAAAAAAAAAAAAAACAAAACAAATAGACAAATGAAGATTCAGAACCTATTTGCTTTCAAACAGCAGAACTTCAGAAGGTCACTACTAAGGTTTATTACAGTGTACTTGTTAGGTCACAGGGGAAGGTCTGTACGTTCATTGCATTTTCTGTATAATGAATATAAAAGAATAACTGTTTTAGAATGTGACATCTTTTCAGCATTAAAGAACCCTAAAAAAGCTAACAGTTGTACTGAGATGTTGAAAAGTTTGACTTGAGCACCTTAGTTAAAAAAAAAAAAGCTACAAGCATTTGATAAGAAATGAATACTGTTAATTGAATTTCAGAAGTCCAATCTTTTGCTAGAAGGAGCTGCAGTCAAAGAAGTTATCAAATTTAATTCCTGTATTATATACTTTAAAGGACTCCTGTAAAATTAACTGTTCAGTTTATGATTTTTCTCCTATATCATGTCACACTAGGACAAGTGTGAGTAAGTACAAAAGTAAGGTTACTAGGTTTAGTTTTTACAACCTGTTCAAAAAAAAAACCTACAGAAGACACACAGTAGCTGTAAATCACTACGAATTACATGTTCAGTATATTATTTTTTCTTCTATTTTCTTTCACGGTCTTCCCTTGCAGTTTCCTAGAACCAGCTTACAGGTCACTTTAGAAATCTGAGATTATAACACTCATTTTGGTGTTAATGGTATCTTCCATATTGCAGTTAATTGCTCGAACTAAAGAATCTTAGCTGAATCGAAAACCAAGTAGAAAGCTACTGCAAAGGGGACCTACCTATGTTTTTGGAAATTAACTGTTCCAACAGTTTGAAAAAATTCCAGGCCTATCTAGGGCAGAAATAATTAACTGCATTTATTAGATAAATTTACAATACGCATAGAAGAGACGAGGCTTATGCTTCTCCAGCCTTACCCACCTGCTTGTGGCTCAGACTAACACACACGTTTATTGAGAAAAACAAAACCGGCTATTAAAAAAAAAAAACGTAACCGCAGCAAATGCACGAGTCGTAACTCTCGAGAGACAGCGATCCCGAGTGCCAGCATGAAAAAGCTGCGATGCCGTGAAAGCCTCTTCCCTGCCACCCCCCCCCCCCCCCCCCCCCCCGCAGCCACTGCTGCGAGCGCACCAGCACCGGCACAACCCCCGGGAGCCTGCCACCATTTGGCCTTTGGTGGAAGGAGACTAGTTGGTACTTCCTGCAGGCGCCCGCCCGCGCCTCCCCCCGCACCAGTAACCAGAGACAACCTTGGGCTTCCCGAGCTGCGAAAAGTTACACTCCTCCCCCTTCCTCCTCCCCAGCTTACCAGAGACCCCGGCCGAGCTAATTATAACTGCGCTAACAACTTCCACCGCGGTCCCCGCTCCTGACGCCCTGCTCGCCGGCCCCCACCCCGGACCCAGCCGTAACTCCTCCGGGCCCGCCATGCCCGCCCCCCCCCCCCCCCCCCCCCGCCATCCCTCCCCACCTGTCTCCGCCGCCCCGTCCCCCAGGCTCCAACGGGCCCCCGCCCTGCCCCCACCCCCCGGCGGGGGCCCGCCGGTACCTCCGGGGAAAGGGGGGAATTCCGCCCGCCCCCGCCGCTGCCCTCACCCCGCGCCGCGCCGTCTCCCTTCCCCCCAGTCTCGCCAGCCCCGTGCCCGCGGAGGGTGGGTAGGTGGGTGGGGGCTGCCCCCCTGCCCCCTCACAGCGTCTCCCTCAGAGGCCCCCACCCCCCGGCCCTGCCTGGTGCCCCACCTGGGAGCGGAGGGATTTTTTTTTTTTCTCCCCTCCCCGTTCCTTCGCGGACTGCCGTGCCCTCCCTCGCCAGCCGGCCGGGCTCCCTTCGGCGGGGCTGGGACTCCGACCGGGAGGAGGCGGAGGCGAGCGCCACCCCCGCCAGGGCCCCGGCAGCCGCCGCTCCGCCCTTCCCTCCGCCCGCGGCGCCCACAGCGGCGGCGGCGGGGGGGGGGGCCGTGGGGGGAGACGGCTGCGTGCACCGCGCCCGCCAGCTGGCCGCCTTCCCATTGGCCAGCGGCCCTTTCAACCTGCCCAGCAACCATTTTCTCACTGGCCGGCGAGCCGGCGGGGGGAGGGTCGGGCTCCGACTGACCCCGCGGCACCGTCCAATGAGAAAGCTGGAAGAGCGACGGGCGGGCGGGGCCGAGCGCCGGCTTGGCCCAATCGGAAGACGGGCGCCGCCGAGTTCCCCCGTCCCCCGGGCGCGGCTCTCCGGGAGGCGGCCCCGCCCTCGCGGCGCGGGGGACGCTGACGACGGCGGGGCGAGGCGGGGCGAACGGGCACGGGGCGGCACGCGCGCGGCACGGCCGCCTCAGGCCCGGGGGGCGGTTGGGGGGGGGGGGGCGAGCGGACAACCCCGGCCGGGCTGGGGCTTCAAACCGACCGCCAGCCCTGACCCCAGCCCTGCACTCCTCCCCTCCTAACCCCTCCCCCCCTTTATTTTTTTTTTAATTGGTTTAAACTCGTCAGTCTCTGACAGAAATTGCCAAATTTAAGAGGAAGCGCGAGGGCCTCTGTAAAGCAGCATTCCTACAACTCCCATTCCCAGGGTAGTTGGGAAACAAGGCGCACACGTCTCTCAACTGGCGCTAAAGCTACATCAAACATTGCACAATTCTTTCATAAATATTCACTTCATTGTTTCCACACCCCCCCCCCCGCCCCTTCAAAGATGGTTTTGGTCATGCTCAAACCTCTGATATTTGCTTTCCACGGGCATTTGCGTAATCAAGTTGTATTGGCACAAGTGCTTGTGCAAACGAGATTTCAAAATCTGATGTTCAAGTGTTTGTAAAGATCGATTTTGTGAGCCTTTGTCAGACCCTACCATGGGTTACCAGATGAAACCCCAAAAAGCTCCTCAGCTCTCAGAGATGGTTTTAGATTAATTTGTAGGACAGTAAAAGCAAACAAAAAATCAAACAGACAGGTTCCTCCTACATTGAATGCACGTGCAGACCGAATTCACACACAGATTATGTGTTAGTCTAATAAATACTACAGAAACACTTGCAGTTGTCCAGTGGGGAAAAATTACAACTTTGATGGAAGACGAGTTGCTTTTTGTGATTATTCAGCTAAATAAAAGGGATGTTTTTCTGAAGCCCCTCGCGTCCAACAGATTTTAACCCTTGTGCTTCCCGCCGGGCATCAGCGAGGGGCGGGTGACCCGAGGGCAGAGGTGCAGGGAGCTGTAGCTGATGCCCGCAGGATCCATCGCTGGAGGCGAGGGGAACGGCTCCCCGGGGCTGCCTCTCCCCCGCCGCCGATTTCTGGGCCACAGCTGTGCTCTGACCCTGCTGCCGGGGGTCGGGAGCACAGGAGGGGAGCGAGTGCTGCTGCATGAAGCATTAATGAATCCTTTTTGACATGCTGCCGGGGCTGTGTTGGAGAGGAGGATGCCTCCCTGAACACCCTGACCCCCGTGGTCCATCTGCTGCACCAAGCAGGGGACTAGTGGCAGCGCTAAAGGGGGAAGAGTGGACCAAATATCTCCCCTGTACTCTTTCACACCACACGCTGTGGCTTAAGTGGAAGAGTAACTCTAAGATGTTGAGGATTCCTCTGTCTGCTCAAGTCAGCCAGGGCCAAGCCAGAGTCACACCAGGACCAACCCCTGCCATATGCCAGGGATCAGCTCCAAGGAACAGAGGATAGGCGTACAAAGGTAGCTGGTGTAGAAGGGGCAGATCTTGAATGATTATGTCTAAGGCAGCATATAAAGGGGTAATTTAACCAGCAGCACCACCAAAGTGTTTGATTAACTTGAGCAAAAATTAGACTTTCTAGACTTGACCTCCCTTGACCAAAACTATACGTTCTCCCGGGCAATCCCCTAGCAGTGGTACAGCAGATAATTCATTTCTCTCTACAGCTACAGCAAGTTAATGCAATTCCTGAGCCACTCTGACATTCTCCTCCTGTTCAGCAGACCTCTCAGAAAAACACCAACACCAGTCACCCTGCTTTCCCCACTCTGTCTTAAGTTACTAACCTAATGTGGTCAGCTGTTTTGTAACCAGTTTTTGTTCTGTTCCATAGAAAGGGGTGCGTGTGCTTTCTACAGCAGGCATTTCTAGAAAGGTCAGTTCTGTTTCATACATACTCTGACAATCTATGAAAAAAAATAACATCTTTGTTTAAATACACGCATCAGAACTTTGGAGTTACAGCCTAACGTATGGAAAAATTAATAGAAATTACACAAAATACACTGATTATTTGCAAAGGTTTTTGTCACTTTTCTGCTTGTGTCAACAGTAGGAGTCATGTAAGAGAACTGGAAGCTAGTTCAGCTTAGCAATGTTTATATCCTGTGAAACTCACATCTTAAGCTAGAGGAGCCATGCTTCTCTCACAGGTTTAAGAATTCAGAGGTCTGAGCTCACACATAAGGTCTTTCTTGACAAAAACTTTCTTTAAAAGGTCCTTACTTTCTCAAATGAGGTCATGTTATAGGAGTCTTCAATGCTCACCCATTTTGCCTTAAACTAACCTTGAGGCAAACAAAGGACTTAACAACATGATTATTTTATGATTTAAACATAGCCTTTCAGTATGACTATACTCACCACAGCAGGCCAGGATAGCGTTCTCATGAGAAGCATCTTTGCTTTTGCAGCAAATTTCACATCAACCAGAAAAAAACCCCAACCCCAAACCAGTCAGGGTCTCTATATAACTCATCTGAAAGGACTGCTGGAGGTCTGCTACTTCTACTTACCTTCGTACTAGGCATCTATTCAAAAACACAGTTCCAGGAACACAGGAACTAATGAAGACTGCCTGTGATTAATTGCCTCTAAGGTACAATCTCTAATTGAAGCTGGTCTCATGCCTGGAAACTTATAAATGTCTCTCCCTTATCTAGATTACTGAATATTGGTACAGAATGCGGTTTTCTTCTGATCTTTTACTTCCATGCTTAAAAAAAAAAAAAAAAAAAAAATCTAAAAATGTAGACTGTGAGGTTTGCCAGATTTGGTTGAAATTAATTAGCTGTTCTGAAGCTGAATGACAAAAGAACCATGTATGCCATACTTGCATAGAAAATTGAGGGTAGTGGCTACTGCACTAAAGCCTGGTTAGTTTTACCACCTCTTTTTGATGGTAAAGCCTCTGTGAACTACTAACTAATCCTACATGAACTCAAGTTTGTTTTTTGTTTTTTTTTTTTTTTTAAAAGAAGCCAACTCAAGATGGTAATTAAAAATTCCCAACAATAACACATTATTGAATATTTGTCAGAGTACTAAAGACATTATTCTGTTAAAAGAATCACAGTTTACAAGAAAAAGTGCTTTCTCCCTATACCTTTCAAACAAAGCAGAGACAAAAGCAAACCAACGTTACTGGGCTTCAATTTAAACAAATAACCATTCAACAGTTGTATCTTAAACTTCAGTCAGCTCACTGGACAAAAAACCAATCCCAACACCCAGTACTTTCCATATCTAGAATTTCTCTCAGTAATGATCTCAAACACAGAAAAGTGAATTTGTTATAAGTACTGTTTTTCTCCTCTGAGTATTAAACTCTTTCGGTGTTTTGTGTTTTAGCAACATACCTGACCTTCCCTTTAGAAGTCCTCTTTTGGAAGCTTGCACAACCTGTGGTTGAAGTTACGTTTTCTCGATCTCCAAAACTTGTCTGTAATTGGCACATGAAGAATACAATATACTGCTCCTTTGTTGTAGCATTTTACTATTGCAGTACGTACTTGCCACTTCCCACATGCTTCCAGGGAACTTCCAAATACAGCAGACGTGGACACAATTTCTTTTTAATTCTTTTTGCAAGAAGTCATGTAATCACCTGTATCTTCAATTATTCTTTCCTAAAAATATGACAGTTGAAATTACTGAATGTTTTCCCTGCAATGGGAAGTTGCCTCTAGCCTTATATTTTCTTGTTGACATGTTGGTCGTGCATCAACATTTAACACAATAATTCTTTAGGTCATAAAACACTCATTTGGGGGGAATCTTGGTTAAGCGAAGGAGTAATTGTTTTTGGTTTTTTTTTTTTTTTTTAAAAAAAAGCTACTGTACAAGGTTACAAAATCATGTCAGATAATGAAATTTTAGTATTTTTCACTGACTTTAAAAAAAAAACAAAAGTCAAGTCACTACAGACATCTGAAGTAAATCTTTTTCCTGACAACTTGAATTATTCAGCAGGTTTTCATATCTTCATAGAACTTCCTTGAAAAAATAGGAAAATTTATGTTAACTGTCAACTTTGCAAGACACCAAAAGGAGTTTAAACAGTCCTTGTGAAAGCTCATAGTTGATCAAGCCAAACTGACAAAAATACATATTTTCTGAAGATGTATATTTCATTTCTTTGGAACTTGGTGTTTTTGTATGTTTAGTATTAGTCACAGTTTGTGAAATCACATTTAAGAGTTGATGATGAATCAAAATTTATCATGATCAGTCATGGTTGTTTTGCATAAGGGACTATACAGCCTAGGCCTGAGACGTAAACATACTTTCACTTTGAACAAAGTCACTTTTGAAAGGATTTTTATTTGTCTTACCCTAGAAGTCAGCAAATAAATGGATATTTTTTTCATCCTAGCTCTTGACAGTTTGTTTAGTTGTATGGGAATATGGAGTAAGTTGCCCAACTGTAAAGCAGTCATACACTCAAATCAGTATTCTGAGGGACAAGACATCCATAATGGCCTGATAATTACAATATAAAACTGTACTATCAGTCAATTTACAATAATACTTTTTAAATTGCCTACTAAAGCAGTCCAGACATAGCTGAGACTTCAAAAATCATGTAAGGAAAGCTTTGAAAACAGGTAATTCCTGGTGAGTGTGAAGACTCGCAAGTGAATCCCTAACCTGCTCAAGGCTGAAACCACTCACTGCTGCTCCGCCGAGGCAGTCTGGAAAGGTTCTGTTCATCCAAAGAAACGACTCCCTCTTCATTTACCAAATTTGTCCCTTAGGCAAGTATGGCTACATTCATAGAGACAGGCAACATCTTTTGCTAGATCAACTCACAGAGCTGCAGAAGAGAGAGGGGATTTAAAAAACCCCAACAAACACCAAATGAATAGGGGAGCGGTAAGCAGACAAGTGCACGAGCCACTGTTAATGCGACCTGGATCCTGCCACTTCTTCGCCAAACGCCTTTGCTGTATGCCTGAGCTCCAGAAGCTCCACGTGTTCTGGATTTTCTGGCAAGGCAGAAGAATTAAAACCACAGGCACATAGGCAGAAGGGGAGAGATATTCGACATTACCTGAGGAGGAAGCAAATTTGATGTTAGCTATTTGCTTGAAAATACTTCTTTTGTGCAAGTCTACAGCAGAGTTATGTCATTCAGACCAACAGCCTAATTTCAGACATGACATTGGCTGCCGTGCAAGTTTCATGACTCTTTTCCTTAGGAGTACATAAAAGAAAAAAAGGCTGCTAGCAGTGGTAGCAAAATCTGACAGAAGCCTATCCTAATTTAACAGAGATTATTTCCTATCTATATGTTCAAATTAAAAAAATCACCACCAGCAAGTATAATTTCTTGCCATTTGTAGTAACAGTTCACAAAATAAGTAATTTAAAATTCACCATCTTACAGGCACTCTAGAATTTCTGATGTCTCTCAGTATCTGAGAGGAATACAGAGGGGAAATATAGTGTATTAACATTTAAGAGATGCGTATTTAGCTATGCTTTGGACTAGCAAAGAAATGACAATGCGAGTTAGAAAAATAAAGCATTTTGTGTTTTTTTTGGTTTTGGTCTTTTTTTAACAGAAGTGACGCTACCCAGCACGAGCAGCTGAATTAGACTGAGACACCCCAATAAAGCAGTAGGGAGACAGGCTGATTTTACAGACTGGTCCTTGCAAAGTCAGAGCAGTTCGAGGCATCTAGGCACACATCAGTTCTGTACGGTGACTGTGCAAGTTTCAGCAATACAGATTCTTATATCTGCTGGAGACTTGAGCCAAGATATCGGGCATGTGAAAACATGTAAGATTTGGCATAGGTTTTAAGAACATAATAAAACAGGATACACATTTCTGTTTAAATGCTCAACTACATAAATGCACACTTACCAAATACATTTCCTGTTAAGCCAAGTAGTCTATACAAATTGCTCTAACGAGGCATAGCTTCCTCAGTAAAGGAACAGCACCCACCTAGATGCTTTGAACAGCGAGGTGCAGATACAGTTATAACACACATGCATTCGACATACAGTTTAAGAGTTATAAACAAATTATACTAATTCCTACCTGTAACATGGAGACTGATGCACATTAAAGAGGTGGGGGAGAGCATCTTTTAAAATATCTTAACATGCAAGGGGGGGCACAGAGGAACACCCACAGTTGTTCAAATCTGTGGGCTTTCAGCTACAGTTCAGAGCAGTTTTGGGGAACTTTCTCAGGGTGACAGAAGATACTTAGTTATTCAAAACAATGCTACTGTTCCCTTTATATAACTTTGAAAATGACTGGCTTTCTGCTTTACCCTATGGCATCTGCTCTCTGATTCAGTGGACCAAATCACACAGAGAAAAGCATGAAGAAAAATTTCCTGTGGATTTATAATTTTGAAGCAATCTCTAATACTACATCAGTATTTGTATCCTCCTGAAGCAGGATGTACTACTGCAACACCTTTCAGTTATGAGTGATATCTCTGTTGATTAACACACAGTATTGGCTTGTTTCTTTGGTCCAGCTATATCATATGGACTGAATTTGCAAGTGTCTATATGGTATTTCATCCTTTATATAAAGTTATTAATCAAGCTTTAATTGAGGAAGCAATGTTTAACTACTACAACAACCAGAGATTATCTCATGCCAAGTTTAATACAAGAAACATTTTCAAATCCACTAAAGACTCACACCAACTGCATGGTTTCATGCAACTGTGCTAATATGCATTCAGCTGTCGAGTTTGAAAAATATAGCATTTTTCCTCAAACCAGATCCTTCTAAAGCACTTGTTAAAATCATATGCTCTGTGGTCTCCTTTTGCGGAGGTGACACTGGAAACACTCCCCTGCCCCCACCCTCTCCTTTTTAGGGGTTTCAGAACCTGAAAAGGGCAGTGCACAGTAGGTAAGGCCACTTGTGGGAAGGCAGAGTCTGTCAGACGCAGAACGTAGTCTCTTCATGTTCAGCTACTTGCTGGGTTCAGTCTACACAAAACTACCAAGTTACTGGCAGGTGTCTTCCCCTGGCACAACCAATGCTAACACAGTCCAGAAACCAATCAACCTTTTCACTCTTCTCTACCTCCCTGCTAGTTGAGGGCTCTTCCCCAGTACCTGCTTGTGAAGGTAAACATTTTCATTTTGTAACAAAATCCTACCCTGTACTTCATCTAACTCTTTCCCCTGAAAAAGTCTCATTGGGGTAAGCTTAATTATATACACTCCTAATGTGAGTACTTTAAGAACAGAACACCATCCCATGTTGTATTATTTTTTTGTTATTAAAAAAAGCCAAGAGGAAACCCTTGGTAAGAGTGGAGCATATTAATTATGACAAGACATCATGACATACCAGTTGATATTTAAAGGCCACTAATAACACTTTTTGTAGTAATTAGTGCAAGATAGTTATCCCATATAAACAAATATTTGATGGTAGACTTCAGTGATAAACAATTCACTTGATGACATTTACATATAAATACACATAAATAAAAACCTACATAATTTAGGTTCATAGTTAAAAAAAGCATGGTCTGAAATGAATTAAATGTAATTGTATCTAGCTGGATCAAAGCTCTTACTCTAATGATACTCAAGTATACGGGGTATGAAAGCATAATTGTACAATTCTCAATTTAGTAAAGTACTACTCTATAAAACAGAATCATGAAAACAGCTCTTACATTTTAATGTAAAGTATAAAATCATATATTTACATTTACATACACTTTACTGAACTACATTGGGTAGCTCACAGTAAAAAAAACATCCCTTTTTGAAAATCTTTCAAAAAATACATCAACTGCAGATATGATCAAAAGTTACTAAGTTAGCAGCTGACATAACATCTGTAGTAAAAATATATTTTAGGAAAATACCTGGAAAAATCTAAACACCAATAAACACTTTAAAACTATTTTTGAAGTAAAAATTGTAGGCAAAACCACGAATAAGCTAGCTAGGATAACAAGAACTATTGCATACTGCTCTTTAAGAGCCATGTAGCGACTTAGAACAGAAGCAGCAGATATGGTAGAAGTTCTGTGGTGTAACAAAGTGGAAACCGGAGGAAAATAAGAAACCAGTTACCCAACTTCTCTCTATGTTTATTACCATTTTTACTGGGAGGAGTATAAGAAAAAGATGAGAGAATCTCTCTCACTGAGTATATCCTCCATCAAAGGCTGAAACAAATTGGTAAAGGGAACCCAATTTCAAGAGCCTTGGACCCCAAACTTAAAAAATATTTACCGTATGTACTTACAGTTCAATGGGCAATAAATTGGATTACACTACAAGTTGCAGGTTAACTTCAAGAGTTAACACTATTTTGCAATATGAAGTGCTTTTTAATATATATATATCTATATAATATATAGATATGTGTAAAATACATGTGCAGAGATTTGATAGAACAAACTGTGGAAATAGCTTTCTAGAGTCTTTTCTTCCTATTAACAGATCTTTATCCCCTACACAAGGAGTTTCAGGATTCAACAAGGATTTCCACAATATGATCAAGCTCATTAAGATCAGATTTACAATTAGAGTTAGAAGCTGCGGTTGTGGGAGAAGAAAACGTTTCAAGCCCATCACAGTGTCCCATTTTTGTGTTGCTCATCATGCCTGTTAACATAGTATCAAGATCATAGTAAGAATTGTCAACTTCTGAAAACAGGTCTTCAACAGAATTAGGACTTTTATTCTCCAGTGTCTCAAATATTTGATCTAATGATTTTTGAAAGTTTCCTTTATTTTCCTGTGGATTCTCCATTTCCCATATGTTGCTCTGCATGTTTCTCGGAGCTTGCACTGAAGAGGCTGCTGACATAGTTTCTGAACTATCTTGTGCCTGGTCACCCTCAAAGTCTTTATTGAAAGTACTATAGCCTGGAACATGCTTTCCCTCAGCTTGCTCCCTAGATGAACGACAGAGGATATCTGTTGAAACAAGACGATCCAGGGATGCCTGCCCTGTACTCTGTGTATTTATCATCTGCCAAGTCCCATCTTGAGTCATTTCCTCTTGGATCTGCCGTACCGTGTTGGCTATAAGTACCGAACGACAAAGGTTAGGTTCAACCAGCATGTGACACAGCTGAAGTTTAACCAAGGACATATCTAAAAGTGACTGCCGCTGAAGATTATATGAAGGAATAGCCTTAATACCAGCCAGAGTTCCTTCAATATCTTCTTCGCCATCAAAACATTTTCTCTTTAATCCTCGCACAAACATTGTGTCCTGTTAAGAAAAAAAAAAAAAATTCTTGTACTATGTAAACAGCTCAAGAGGGAGGTAAAAAAAAAAAAAGACTAAAAAACAAAACAGAAAACTTAAAGATTAAATAGCAAATTCTTTTAAGATAGAAACATCAGAATTGTCATACCAGGTTATAGAATGGCCAGTGTGGTACAACAAGGGTCAGGAGCATATGGACTGGGTCCCAAAGACGGCACTCGGGAACCAGGGGTGAGCAGGTCCACAAGTCATGGCATCGGAGAGAGGCAGGGGCTCCCAGCTCCTGGCTCCCATTAAGCTCCACACTTGATGGAAGTCAGGAGCCGCTGCTTCGCACAGAAGCAAACATCTCAACGGCTGTATTTCACCTACTGGAGAGGCAGTTTCTCCTCGCTCCTCACGAGTTTCTACTGGCATGCTTAACCTCTAATTTTGGAAATAAAAATACAACCTGGCACACCATCTTTAAAAGATTTGACCCCTCCAGAACATCAACATGCCTAACAGAGTAACATGAAGAAAATACCATGGGTAACGTACTTGAAAAGGTTAGCTTATTTTGGCTCCAGGCAGAGTAAGATCTAGATTTGTTCCCTATAACTTGAGACATTCAACTGAGGTACTTAAAGCAGTCCTTCCAGTTCCCTTACTCAGGTGAGCAAATGAACTGTGTCATTCCAATATGAATTGTGCAAGTCCAGTAAGGATAGGTACAGTCATCCCCTGTATGGGCTTCTGTACTTCTTTCCCAGATGACTACAAGAAAGCAAAAGTCCTGTATTCCTAGTTTAGGTTCAGCAGCTAAAAATAAGTGGGGTGCATCCAGGCTGTTTCTTATTTACAAGTAAAAATCACTTGCTGAATTTTCCAAGGTATGACTTTCAAGTACTAGCCTCCACATCTTCTTCTGAATTGCACTAATTTTGACAAAAGTGGCCCATGCAAATATTGCAGCTGATCTCTTGAAATACAAAGTAACTGTTCTTTTTTAAATGCAATAGATGTCTTACAAAAATTAGGCTGCAAATGAAAGCTAGTACCTGATCTTTACATTTATGTACCTTTGTTATGTCCTTTCTAACTCTTCTGTCCTTTGAATTTCTGTTTGCCCAGTATTTGGGTATTTTTATTAATGTAGTGACCCAAACAAAGTTTTTCAACTAAGAGCCGATAAAACCAAAATACTACTGCAGTGTCTCTCTGTATCATTTTCCATTTCCCTTGATAAGCCCTAACCTCTGCCTTGCTTTTCTGGTTGCTACAGTATGTTCCACGTATTTTCAGAGTGCTCACTCTCAGCTTTTTCAGTCACTAAAAATCCACCAAAGTACAACATTGTTCCATTCAAAATACACTACATACTTATCTACTCTGAAAACCTGGGGATAGCACAGTAGCTAAACATTTGGTCTGACTCTGTACAACATTCCTTACATTGCTGTATATATCCATGAAATAATCTTTCGATGCATTTGCCAACTCTTAAATATTTCTTTCCACTGAAGGTACAAAACTCTTTAGAAATCATAATATGCAGAGACTACAATATAGCATATATGAACTTGGACTTATGATCACTTTTCATAGACTTCTTAAAAGATGTCCCTGGATTACCAATATATAAAATGCTTTGGAAGTTTCTTTTAAAATTTTCTTCTGTAACCCAACATATCTGCATTATTCCCATTAAATACAACCCAAGTTTTCGCTTGATAGTGAGTTTCTCTGATTTTTTAGATATTCCTGCAACTTCCTACTGGAGGATATCTCATTTAATTTTCCCTACAAAGCTGTATGTACAGTACTTTCTAAACACACACACTCCATGTGAAATTTGACCTCTCAAGACATCTTTTGAGACTACTGATCAAGCATGTATGAGTATGTCATCAGACGTTAAACACTGCAGAGTTTGAGGCTTCTTTTATTTCAACTTATATTCTTATGAAGAATAACTAAAACTTCAACTGAATGTTAACTTGGTTTTCATACATCTACTATTTTAAGGCACACCAACAGAAGAACAGAATGCGGCACAAAACCTGAAAACCTCAATACATCATACACACTTGGGTGCATATAAGCAGAGGAAAACATGTTTAAAAACTCTTAAAGGCAAACTTTTCACAGCATTCACTGGATTTTTCTTCTATAGCATTTACTTACAATTAGTATCTTGCAAGATAAAACCAGTTTTTTTGTTACCCTGTTCCTGAAACTGCACAAAATACTAGAGTACAATTTCACTTAAGAAGCAAAAAATCACATACCAGTAATTGTGTTTGATGTAGTCCTTCCTCTTCTCCCATGCTACTGAGCAAGAGTCCATACAGTAGAAGTTAGAGCACCACCTACCAAGTACCAGGAAGCAAGATGTTAGCCAAGTACAGGAGATGCAGAACAAAATAGTTTCCCATTTCAGACACTTAAGACCTCTAGATTTTGTCAATTGCTTCAGTATTTCTATCCTTGTAACACACCTACAAACTTGCTTAGTACTGTTAAACACAATCTAGAGCTAGAGCACAAAGGTGATTTGTCCAACAATACACCCAAAATCTGTGACAGGAGAAGGAAACTGTCAGTTTAAATCCAAGTCTTAGGCTATTACCCTGACCTTTGGACCAGCCTCTCCCTTATTGCTACAACTTTGTCATTTAAAGAGCAAACCAAATCTTTAGTGATCATCTGAAAAATTTAAATGTGCACAAAAGCATGCTGAAAGCAAATTTTCATTACTTTTACAGCAAAACTATACAGTTTTCAATTTTGTTGTACAAAACCATGTATCTCTGTAGCATCTAGACAAAAAGAGCAAGCATGCACAAATGCAAAACTGAAACATAGCAAAACCAGGGAGGATTTTCCTTTACCAACACCGAAACTTTATGACTAAGATTTACTTTGCAAGACAATAATGAAAGTAATGACAGTAATTAAATTGTTGTAACTATAAAGGCTGAGTTTTTAAAATACATTTAAAGCAAAATAAGATTTGATATACAAAATACAACTACCAAATACATGCAATAATTAATTACTGAAACCTAAAAGAATGCTGTTTCAACAGGCTACAAAAACTTATATGATAAAATATGAAAACAATTCAGATACTTTTCTAGACATGTCTGTACAGTACAAGACAGTTCAGTGTCTGCAACTGAAGTACATACCTAGTAAAGAAACAAATAAAGAGAATGCATACAGACATCCATTTTTGTTTTCTATTGTGACTGGTAGTAAAAACTGTTGAAGAGTGCTTGCTCTCAAAATTGGGGAGGAAGGAGGTAGTTGACAAAGGACTTGGGGAGTGGGGGGCAGAAAACATTTTTCTCAAGAAGCTGCATACTTGTTAAAGTACAACAAAAAAACCCCACCTCAAGCCCTCTCAAGTCAAAATCTTTTGACTTGATCCCCAAGTCTCATACTAAAATGCTGTTATGTCATAGAAACTGTATTTCAACCAACTCAATAGTATCAATTCGCTTTTATTGACTGAGCTCACAGCAACATTCAATACAGGGTCACTACACAACTACAGCTCCAGTGAGACACCAGAATATCAAGTCAATAAGGTATTTTCTTATTTCTGTCAAACACCTTATGATGCTATAAAAGTTCAGAAGTTTTTGCTCCCCGGGTATACTTCCAAAACACTCCATAAATGAAGGGCAATCTCTTTGAGAGCCTATATATGGTAACTATTTGAATCCTCCAAATTCCTACTAGATATGCTTTTAGTTTAGGGCAGGTGACAAGGGCATAAACTTTGTTTAAAAAAAACCTAAATGAAACAAAAACCCACAAAAACCCCCACAACAACTACAGATAAAGATGGTGCAGTCACAAGAACAGTAAATGAAAATATTTTCTGATGCTATTTTGGATACCTGACAATTTTAGAAGAAAAGGCTTTGGTTGTTTGCTTCCCAAAATAGCAGACTGATACAGGAAGGGAACATTGATGAGAAGAGATCTTGGTTAAAATAGCCATTATCATGTCCACAAGCAAAAAGACATAGGGGCTGTTGGCAGAGCAGTCCAGTCTGTAATCTATTAACATACTAAAGAAGGAAAGAGTTTTCCCATGCAATACAATAATGTGTAAGATGTGCTGCGTGTGATTCCAGGTTCTTCCCTAGAGCGATAAACAAACTATGTGGACCTTTGTTACCATAAAGAATATGCCCATCTCAGCAATCATTTCTTCTAATTCTATTAAGTGATGTACAAGAGCGCCTCAGAATCTAAGTTCTCAATAAAAAAAAATTAACTTCATAGCCATTATCAGATGCAACTAAAAGCCTGCAAATAAACAACCTCCCCTATACTTCCCTGCAATATCTCCAACAAGCACTCACCTCAAGAGAATAATAAATTTAAAACTTAATTAAAAGGTAAGTATGTTTCTCTATTGATTTACATATTAACACACTCAAAAAGGTATTGGCCACTGCGTAAAACCTGTTGGTACAGGACAGCAAGACTCCTGCTGCTTTAGAGTCAAGTTGTTCAAAACTCCCTGATAATTTCAGGCAGCATCTGTCTCTGTCCAAGAGGCAACATCCAGACTAGCTGTATTATCTCCCTTCTTCCACTACTATCCAAGTGTCAAGAGCCCAAACTCAGGGTGTTGAACTTAACCACTGTCTGAAATAGCTGTACAGAAAAAGCTTGTCAAGGAGACATGAACTGTATGTAAAAAGGAGTTTTTGTGGGGTTTGGTGTTTTGTTTTTTTTAATAGTAGCACAGGGAACTCAATATTATGTAATTAATTTAAAGTTTTGCTTTTGGGATTAACAAATTCCCAGTCTGCTTTACAAATAAGATGCTTGAAATTTGATCCAATTCTTACCAGAGTATCAACTTAAGCATTCCAGATACATGTAGTAATATGCTGCCAAAGATATATTTAAATACTTAAGAGAAAAAGCCAATTCCTAAGAGTTGGGGTAATAGAGAAAATGAGAAATTTTAGCGCTGTTTGTCTTTATGAAAAAGCTGAAAAGAACTACCTAGGCCAGTGCTACAGGTTTACCTAAGCAGGGTGTGTTTTTTCTTTTTGTGCAGAAACAAGCAGAGTGACCATGGTTAGCATGGGAAGGTAGGAAGGTATTTTATCTCCCCTCTATCACTCTAATCCCCCTCCAACTCCAAAACTGTCCTTTTTAACAACTGTGGGAAGAAATCAAAGCTATGTGTAATGGTGAAAAAAAAAAAAAGACGGAAAGCTAGGTACTGCTGTTTAGGCAAGCGTATGTGTGCGCATGGTGGTGTTATGAGGTGGGCTTGCAGACACAGCAGCGGGCTGGCAGGGCCAGAAACATCCCTCTTCGAAGCGGGACAAAGGCACCTATAAAGCACTAGGGCTTGGTCCACCCCCCCGGGCGGAGAGGGCTGGCTGGCACCTCTCCAGGAGACGAGGGCTTCGCGAAGGGGCACTAGCTCCGAGCAAGGGCGGGCTGGGAAGCTAGGGCAGCCACACGCCGAGGGCCGGGGCGGCTGCCGGCGGTGCGAGGAGCAGAAATCTCGTTAAAACGCAGGCTACGGAGACGGGGGGGGGGGGGGGGGGGGGGGCGGCCCGCCGGAACCGGCGATGAGAGCCCGGGGCGGGCAGCGAGCCCCGGCGCACGCGGGCTGGGGAGGGAGAGCGGCGGCGGGCAAGGCGGGGATGAGCCGCGGTGCCTGCGGTCGGTGGGTCGGGGTTGGTCCCCAGACAACGGCACGGCGGCCGGCGGGGGTGGAGAAGCCGGCGATGAGGGTGCGCGGCTAAGGGAAGGGGGCCGAGGGGAGGAGAGGGAAGCCCGGCGCCGGCGGGGAAACGGGCCCCCTTGGCCGGCCCGCCCGCCCCGGACCTCCTCACCGCTCCGGGGACGCGCCAACGGCTCCCGGCGGCGGTTACTCATCGTCCCGCGCTGCCGGCAAACGGCCCGCCGCCATTTTGAATCGGCTCCCTCCTCCGCGGGCTCTGCCGGCACCGGCTCGCCGGCCCCAGGCGGAGCCCCGGGGGGGGAGAGGCGGGCAGGCCCGAGGCCCCGCACCGCGCCGCCGCCCAGCCCAGCCCGCCCTACTCACCACCTCTCCGCCGCCACCAGCGCAAGAACCCCCGCTCCCGCCTCACCGACCGCTCCGCGCTTGAGGGAGGGGGCGGGACTAACTGTAGAGACCGGCCCCGCCTCCCCCCGCCCGCCATCTTATTGTCAAAGCCCACAAAGGAGCTCGCTTCCTCCCCCCCGCCCCCGTCTTCCCGCCGGGGGGGCGGGCCTTTCCCGGAAGCCACGCCTAGAAGGGAACGGGTGGCTGCTATTGGCCGTCGCCGAACCGTGCAGACACCGCTCGCAGCTGCGATTGGCGGGCCGCGGTTGCCATGGCGCCCGGCCTCTTCCCGCCCCCCCTCCACCAGGCTCCGCCCACGGGAGGCTGTGGGGTAGTCATGGCGCCCGAGCCCTGCCCCTCGGCCCTGAGAGGCCGGCGGGAGGTGGAGGCGGAGCCCCGATTTCAAACGGCAGCCAAAGGCCCGCGGCGCGGCTGGGCTCGGCTCCCGGCCACGGGCTCTGGCGGGAACAGGTTCGGACTTGGCCCCGCACAGGGAAGTCGCGAGTGGTGGGGGTGGTGGCGGCCGCCTCCCCCGCTGGGCCCGGCCGCCGCTTCCCTCAGGGCCGGGGAGCCCCCGGCGCCAACCGCCGCCGGCCCGCCCTCGCTTCCCCCTGCCGCCCCCGGCGCTGCCGCCCCGCGGGGGGTGCCAGCCCTCATGACTCCATTCGCAAAGCTTGTGGCATTTCCTGTTTGGGCCTGGCCGCCCAGCCCCGGGGTTCGGCAGGACGGGGACGCCGCTTCCTTGGGGCGAGGGGATGGGGAGAAGTTTCACACCCTTCGGGAAGCCGCAGTCCCAAAAGCTCCAACCTCCCTGCCGAGCGACAAAATAAACCCCAAAAACCTAAAGCTTTGAACGCTGCTATGACTTCCAGCTCGATGCTGCTGCACATCTGCAAGTACTTAGGCCGACCGGGCGTTTCTCGGTCGCTTTCCCGGTCTTGCAGCTACGTGCCGGCTGTCTCCACAGCAGCCGGGAGGAGGGCGGGGGGGGCCGGGCTTGACCTGGCTGCGGCTGCCGGGAGGGAAGCGCGGAGGCACCGGCAGCTGCTGCCCGGGGCTCGGCGGGGGGATGGGGGGGCTGCTGCCCCGGGAGGAGCTGTGGGGCGGGCAGCGAGCGGAGAATGCAGATGGAGAAAGGGTGGGCTCGGCAGCAGAGGGGGGGGCATCAGCTGGGCCTAGGGGCTGAGGTTGGGTAGGAGAGGCTGTAAAACAGCTGTGGCTTGATACGAGAAAGCAGGAGGAAATAACGTCTCCATAGCACAGCAAGATCTGCTTTTGGGTCAAGAAAGCTTACAAAGTGCAGTACTTCCCCTTGTTGGTTTGTTTTTTTTGTTTTGTTTTGTTTTACAGTTTCTTCACTGTGCTTATGGCATCATGGTGCAAAAGTACGAGTCAAAACTTTGTAAGAACGATACCACAAAGAGAGATGTTCTTGTGCTCTCTTCAGTTTGACGTTGGCTTCTAGTTTTGCTGCAAAGAATTCAAATAGGTAATCCCACAAGAAAACTTGCAAGAACCTTTGAGCCTCTCCAGAATTCCCTTTGGAGGCAGTGTGGGTGCTGTTCCCTGGAGGATCACTGCTAGAAGGGTTTATTAGTATCGCTCTTTCTACTGATGGCATCGTGTATATAATAAGATACATAAGTTCCTTCTCCTTATGTTTTCTTTTTCCTTTTAGAGATACAATGAGATGGTCTTGGCAGTTTCGTTTATATATTTTTTTCCACCCCTCATTAAATTCTCCAGTGAAACGAAAGGATGTCTGATGGCATAGAAACTACATCATCTACATTTCCGTTTAAGCCACTGAAAGAAAACTTGTGAAAGGTTCTCAGCACTTTGTCTTCTTTGAAAATTTGAGAAACTATTTGTCTCATCGAGGTATGATGAGATTTGATTATTCTCAGGAGAAAACAACTCACATCTCATGTGGGAAACAAAACTTGAAAAGTCAAAATGGAAAAATCTGGACAGACTTATGCAAAACAATACAGCTCAAAGTATTTACTAGAAAGCAAGCAATCTCAGATAGGACTAAAATAGAGTTATAAATAATTTAATTGAATTGTAACCATGCTGATGTTTTTCAACCTCCTACTGGTTTCAGTAAATGAAATTTTAACACCAGGGTTAAAATGAGGAGGTGAAAACCCAGTAATTTCCTTAACAGATAATTTATATATTGAGAAAACTACCTCAGCCCATGGAACTTTCTCAGCTAAAATAATCTCCAAGCAAAAGCAGAACTGATGCCTAAATTAAAGTTGACATTCTAGAGACAAAGCATGGAGCAGAACTGCAAAGCAACCTGACAGGGGAAACCAAAATGAAGATAATAGCTGCATACAAAAACAAATAAAACAAACAAACAAAAAACCCCAACAAAAACAAAGGGGGCTGGAAATTACTGGCCAGAAATGGCAGGGGACTTTTAAATCAAGAGGTGATTCAGAATATGTATTCAAAGCTTCAGAGAGTCGAGAGGCATTGCACCTAGTGAGACACTGCAGAGCAACCTGCTTGCTGGTGAAATGACTGACGCAGGTGGCGGGAGAAAATGATGCCAACCAGCTCAGCAGATCTTTCCGAGGAAGACGGGTCACCACTGGCACCCAGCAAAGTCTTCAGAGCAAGTGGTAGTCCTGAGGGGATTTAAAAGCACTGGCAGCCTTTATAAAAGTGTGATTGCTGAAGACAGGTGAACGGGATGCCCTTTTTGTGGGAAAACGGGAGGTCTGGGGCTGGTTTAACAGGAGAAGGTGTTGCCTTGACCTCCCTGAGCAGGTCCAAGGTGCAGATCCATCCTTAGCACACAGTGGGGTTTACTTGAGCTGGGGCCCCTGCCCCAGAGCGGGAGGGCTGAGCCCCTTCCCTTTGCTGGGCAGTGGTTAGCTTGTGCTCGGCGTGGACGAAGGCCGGGCCCGGCTTCAATCTGCGAGAGCTGCGTGTGCGGATGGGCTCCAGCCCTGCAAGCCCTCCAGCCCTCGAGCAGCAGCGGCTGCGGGAGCTGTGCTGGCAGCCAGCTCCGGCTCTCCCCATCCCACAGCCCGCCTGCTGGCTGGGGAGCCCTGGCCTGCCTCTTCCTCTGGCGGGGGCTGGTACTGGGTGGTGTGACCTGCGTGCCATGCTGGCTGGAAAGCAGCCACTGCTCCCTCCCTCCCTCCCAGCCCCCTTCCTCCCCTTCTGGAGCAAGCCTGTGCTGGGCTGTGCTTGATGCCTTGGCTCCTTTCTCAGAGCGGTTCAGCCCCTGCTGAGCTGGCCAGACTTTCACACATCAGTGGTGACGGGAAGGCTGGTTTGGAGTTGGACAGTGTTTATAAAACTGCAGAAATTAATAGGAACTCAATGGCTGGGAGGAGGGCTGAAAATGCGCTTTTAAAAAAAAAAAAAAATTCCAGTTTATTTGTGCAATTTCGAACTGCACAAAGGATCTCAGTCTACGCCATTTCCACATTAGAAATTATTATAATAACAGTGGGTTTTAATAGTTTAAAGGGCTAATGTAGATAATCTTTCTGTAAGTGAATAAGAAACAGAAATATGTACAGAGTGAAGTTCCACACTTTCCACTGGATCCCTGTGCTGATACTATTTCTAGCTTGTGGAAAGGTCTCTGAGGGAGCGTTTCTTGGGCTGTGACAGGGACTGTCTCTTACTCAGTGTTTGTGTGAGGCTTAGCAGTGTTTCACAACTGGTGCTTCGTAAGCCCTCAGATAAAGAGGGTAGGACAATTAGTCAGGAGGTTGCTTAAGCTTTGAAACAAACAGTTTCATCGAGATAGGACGAAGTCTTGTCTAAATAGCAATCCCAAGCTGACAATGAAGTGTTTTCCACTCCGTACTCCTGCATGGCTGCCGTGTTTTCTGCCTGTGGCCCAGGGGCCCTGGGGTTTATGTAGCTGGGGGAATAGTTCAGAGTACGGCGCTGCAGTCAGAGGCAGGAAAACGTGTGCTTGCACTGCCGGTGCTTGGAGCCAACCAGACGTGACTCAGCCCTGAACTGGAAGCCGTGAGCTGTCGTCAGTGCGGTGCTGTGCTCTGGCTAGCGAGGCTGATTGAGAGACAAGGTGTGTTAGCTCAAGCTCTGGGCTGGACTGGCACGGCTGCATGAGGTTTGGAAGAGTTTTGGCTGTGATCCTGCCGGTTCAGAACGGGGACAGAGCAAGCTTGCCTCTGCCTGCTAAAGACAACGCGGACTTGCTCTGAGTCTGTATTGTTTCTCTCATAACTACTGTTTGATTAAAGCGCTTAAGATATGTTTGTCTTTTTAATTTGGCTCCCAAGTAGGGCAGGAGGCCCGCTTGGAATATACCATTTCCTTTAAGCCCAACCTGGCAAATTCTGATTACCTCCGAGATAGGCAGCATTATGAAACAATACTGAGTGCTTCTGCAGACAAGCACATTCCTGCAGCAGAGCTAGCCTAAAAAATCCAGGAGCGGGTGGAAGAAAGGCTGAGGAGGGTAGTTAAATGTGGCTGTTCCCTAAGAAGTAAGCCTGTTGTAGCAGCTCAGCTGGGCCCTGTAAGCCAGGTATAGGATACAGCTTCATTGTGTGCGGTCTGCAGTCACAGCACACTGAATTTAAGGGAGTCTGTTTTCATATCATTACAATGTGTTAATGTGTGGACCACCAAAGGTGGCTGAAAGTTCTGCTCAGCCGTCAGCAAGGGTAAGCTGCTCCTTCACTGCTCTGAGCCTGGAAGGGCTGTTGCTCTACCTGTAGAAAAGGGTTGGATGAAGAACAGCAGGCATCTGGTGCCTGTAAAACAAAGTGTTCATAGTAAGTGAATAAGGATTTGTGGGCTAACTGTAGCTTGATGTTGGATGATAATGATGCTGGCATCAAATGTTAGTGGCTTACAAAATGAGAATAGCATAGTCAGAGCACTCATCACACCACCTAATCTCTGCACCAGCTAATACATGTCTGAGTATGGCAACAGTTGGCTGGCTGTACTGGCTCAGCTGGGTGTTTGTGCTGGCGAAAACTGAAGAGCGGTAGCAGGCAGGTGAGGGGAGGGAGGGTGCAACAGTGGCGAAGCAAATCCGATCTTGGGCAGAAATCTGTCTGCCTCAGGCCACCAGCCTCAGGCCTTCGGTTTTATGGCTGTGGGTATCTGATCGATCTACTAAGAAGACAGGGGGATCAGGGGTGACAAGGGCTAAGAAATGAGTGCTTAAAAAGCTTGTACAGACTGAGAAACTCTGAGCTAAAACCAGCACCACTGTGTTTATCCATGTCAGCTAGCAACTTCATGGAACCGATAATAAATTGCTAAGAAGAGGTATTAATATGTTTTGACTGCAGGATGTACAGTGGAAACAGGACACACAAAAGCTGTTAGGCTTCTACTCGTCTGCAAACTCTTGTAGCCTGCCTGGCTAAAGTGGTTGTGTTGGAGTTAAGGACCTTTCACAGGCAGCTGTAGAAGTAACTGGCCATCAGTTTCCTCTTGTGGTGGAAAGGACCTGGAAGACAAGAGTGCCCTCATATTACAATATTTGTTTATGCTCCCCCACCACCAGGATGTGACAAAATAGAAATAAAAGAAATGTTTTCAGCAAGATTTACAGTTGCCAGCCAATTCAGAGAAAGTGTTCTCCATGGCAGGTGATATGCAAAACTACAAAAGCCAAAGGGGTTGCAAAGCATGCTTGAAAAATTCCACCCATGAAACCACAAATAGTGTGTATGCACACTGGCAGGCAGGGGCCAACAGCCAGTATGTGTTGGTTGTGGACATCTGCAGTAGGAACAAAGCCCAGATGATACGAAGTTAAGACTTTCAAAGCGATACCTAGCGAGATACTAAAACAGAAACCTAGTGGCAAAGCACCATGCACTGTACCAAACAGCAGAACTCTCCAGATCATGCAGTAGCAGACAGCAAAGATGGACTGTGAAGTGCTGAATGTTGTTTGGGGTTTTATTTGAAGGCTCCTAAGCCCTCTTCTGGATCATCGTGGTAGTTCTGTTTTATATTTGTGAGAGACAAGATTGTTTTGTTGTTGCAAAAGTGTTGCATTATAAAGGTTTTCTAAAAACTAAAGGAACACATCTACTTCTTTCATAACAAGGATTTTCTTTTCAACATACATTTTGGACACTTGAATGTATGTTGTCTGGTGCTGCTTAAGATATGTGTTCCATAGCTAAGCACAAATACCATAGGGTATGACAGTTGCTATAGCAACTAAGCATCTACTATTAAATAGCACCCACAAGCTCAAAAAACATGTGCAACCTGTCACTGCACAAGGCATTCCTTTATTTGCAGCAAGCTAAGTACCATATTTTCATCTCAGGAGTTTGTCTGTTTCTGATGAATGTGTTTGTGCTGTGCATGTGAAGATCTTTTTTCCCCCACCAGCTCTACCTTCCTTTGAAAACTGCAGATACTGTAAGAACAAAATAGCCTGAAGCAGTTGCAAGCTGAAGAAGTTAATGAATAATTCCTTTTTCATATATCCTTGAACATACATTAGAGTGTGGCTTTCACATCTTTTAGGCCAGATTTGAGTCTTACACCTTTGTTGTTCCGCATCTTTTGATATTAGTGTTTTGTTCTTGAAACCAGCCTTTTGGAAGGCACTGTGCTGTTTCTAGAAGCTGTGTCCCTGAAAATTACAATACCAGTGGGAAACTAATTTCTGCAGTAGTGGCAAATGGGAGAGTTATAATTCAAATCATAGTTAAAGCTAACAAAACTGTTAAGAATATGTAGGTCGGTTGTTTATTTTTAAATTTGCCTTAAAGTTGTTAAGCATTTGGGCCATGAAAACTAGGAGAATAAAGTAGAAAAATAAGAACACTGACTTTCTTTTGCAGTAACTTAATTCTGGTGGTTGAGACTTTAGTAACAAGCCATTAACAGCATTAGTTGCTTTACATTTTCCAAAACAGAAATGTGATTTTCCTTAGACCCGTCATAAATAATGAGAATAATAAAATCAAGCATCAGTAAGAGGAATATGCTGGTTATAGAAGTTTACAGTTTATCTGCAAATTAAAATAATCCTCTGTGCTCCTTGGAAGAGTAGATGAAGGCTGTGATGGTTTGTTGGAGTGTTTGATTTGCTTCCAAATTTTGTTTTAGAGTCTGGTGAATTGATAGTCAAACTGAAAAACTTACTGTGTCCAAATTATTGCTGATGATTTGATGCTGATTTATCAGATTTACACAGTCAATAAGAAAAAACAAATCATAAATTGTAGTAGGAACATAGCAATTATAGTTTAATGAGGATATCAAAAAATGAACATAAGAAATAGGTAAACTAAGATGTGAAAAGGCATATTAAAAATGTGAGTTTTTTGCTCTATTTTTTTCTGAAGAGAATGATTGCTAATGCCTGTCTGCCTTATCTGGTTAAAGGGCCAACCCAGTTAGAAGCATGGCTATGAACACAGGTAAGAGGCTATGAGCTGGTCTTGTTCTCTGCTCCGGTCCCATACCTTGGTGGGGATGACAGCTGTGACTTTTGTAGCGATACTTTTGTATCTACTACTTTTGTAGTGACTTTTGTTAACTCATGTCTCCTGGTGCTCTGTCAGTAGCCAGTGCTTTCCCAGCAATCATTTGGACATGTCTAATGTTAACGGAATAACAAATCTTTAACTGGCCTTATTTAATCTGACTAACAAATAGCACCAAATGCCAGTAGAGTTGGGATAAAGTCACCGGAGCTGCAGTGAGCAGTGGTGCAGGATGACGTGGAGAGTGGTTTGTCGAGGCAGGGAGGCAAGGTGGGGCTCCTGAGAGAGTTGTTCAGAATTTGCTGGGTGTTTGGATACCATAGGGGCTGGCTCGGCTGAACACCTTAGGTGATATGTTTGCCTCCTGAAACTTACATCCTCTCCGGGGAATCATGGACAGATCCTGGCAAGTTCCATCATCCTCCATTTTTTTATTGTGTGATGCAAAGGAATTGTCTTTCTCTTTTTCTCCCCATGATTCTTGCTTTTTTTCAGTTATTGTTTTTTTTTTTTGTTTTTGTTTTTTTTTGTTTGTTTGTTTGTTTGTTTGTTTTGTTCCTGTTGTTTGTATGCTTGTTTGTTTCTTTTTTTCTTTTTTTCTTCTTTCTTGTTTTTCTGCCTGTTTGTAGCCATATTTGAAAAAGGCTGCACGTTTCAGTGATAGTTGGATAAACACAGTAACCCAATCTTGTGTCTGCCTCAGCAGCTATCTGTATGGTAAGCATGAGTGCACGTATATGTACACACACTCATCTGTTTGGACTGTTTACCCAGCAGCACGAAGTCTTACAAATTTATGACTACAGGCTGCAAACTTAAGAGATATAAGAGAAACTGCGTTTTTTTCTTCCACTGTGAAGTCCACCATGGCCTACAGGAGAAATAGGCTAGAGTCTGGTGCCCTCTTGTGACTACCTTAAGCTCCTGGAAAACATCATCCAGTGATTTAGGCTCGATCGGGGCATAAATTACACCAGAAAACAAAAACTTATCTAAAACAAAAGCTGGAAGTATAGAAAAGGGGAATTAACTCCTCAGTGTCATTTCTGAAATGCAGCTTCTGCTGCATGGCTCAGAATAGAGACAGTACACTCACAACCCATAGCTGACTGATGTGTTGAATATTTCAGTGATATGTTGCGTTCATAAAGACTTTTCTTCACGCTAGTCAATTAGACATGATACTGAAGCATGGACAAGTCAGGATTATACATTATTATTGCTTTACATAATGAAAGAATATGTCCAAGCTACATGTCTACATATATTAAAAAAAAAAAAAAGAGATTTTTCTCCAAATTCTGGAGGTTTGAAGTCGTCATGATCTGAAAATATGGGCCAGCAAAAAAAGTTCATATTCACATTCAATTTCCTACAGCCTTCAGAGGAGGAGGGCTGGTTTCACAGCTTTGGTTTAACTTCATGTGGATTTATTTGTAATGGTTTTTGGTACCTCCAGAGAAAAAAAGGTTATTCTCTGGGATTTTTCCATGTACAGTATTATTTCTCATCTTGGAATTTGACCAAGAAATGGTTTTAGTTTCTGCAAATGAATGCTAAAATCCAAAAAGACAAATATTTAATATAATTTCCAGCTTCTTCCCTCTCATGAGAGGGGAACATTTCTGGTCAGAAGAGGGAGTGACTGGTCCTTGAATAAAGCAATCAGGGTCCACTCAGCCTCTCATTAGTGAAAGCCTCTTGCTGAGTTGTAAAATCACCCACGCCTTTGAATTCTGCTTTTGTGGACTACTGAAGTTACCTGATGACCTTTCGTTTCCCATCGCATCTTTTCTATTATTACATTACAGTCTGTCTGCATCTGCTTCACACCCCTGTGCACAAAGGAAGTTCCCCATTTGCCCCCTTTTGCATGTTTCTAATAGAAACTTCAGATTTGTACTTGGCCTGGCTAGAATCTCCTGCCTTTTGTTGACGGGCCATTCCCACAGTAACAGTCAAGAAAGCCAGAAGTCAGTTACACTCCCGAGTTCCCTTGTTATTTAATGTACATTTTTATTCCCTTTTGCGTATTGCTGCATCCAGTACCGGACACAGCTGTTGCTCCAAGCAGTGCAGTTAAAGGCACCGTTCCATTGAGAGCTATGGACTGTCCATTTTCATAAGCTTTAAGAAAGATTTGAACAAAAGAATTAGAAGTAGGCAGGAACCATACACGCAGCTAAATGGAAAATTACAGGATTTTTTTTTTAATACCTTATCAAATATCTTTCATCCAACGTATTGTCTAGACACCTAAAGACATCAAACATAGTCTGGGTATGTGCACCCTCAAACAGAGGTGATAGCATGAGCCTAGTCTTCTTGACTACATTTAAGAAAGGTAAAAAAAACCCTAAATTAATCAAATGGGTAAGCAATAGTGCTATTGCCTCAAGCATATCAGGCTCACACTGTTGGAGACCTATGAAATCTGATGCTAATACAGTGCTTCCCAACCCACAAAGATAGTGCCAGGAAGGGACGAGCTTGAGAGGCAGTGTCCACATGGGTAGATTTCAAAGCCCTAAGGATTTTACAGATTATTGCTGGTGGCCTACTGTATACAGAAGTTGCAACTGCAAATGCTACTGGCATTACTGATTGTTTTCAGTCCTGTACCTGGAGAGGTACTAGGAGCCTTGTGAGCACTTGGCCCTGAATGTTCCAGTCTGGAAATCAACTCTGTGGATCAGTATTACCCATACCTTTTGAAAGCAAGAAAATACTTCCAAACACCAAAATATCCCGGTGAGGAAAAATCCCAGTGAGATCCTGAAGGTTCTCGTGCCTGTGTTACCAGAAGGAGAGCCAAAGTTAAAATGAAAGTCTGCATATTTTTTTTTTTTTTTTCCTGATGCCACAGCATAAATAGAAGCAAATAAAGTACTTTGAATCTGACCCTGAAAGTGCTGACTCGTTAGAATTTGTGCTTTGGTAAGCCATTCACTGCCCTGTTGCAGTGAGCTCTGAATATGCATACGACACACCTGCTCACTCTGGTATCTCCTGCAAGGCCTTGTAGTTTAAACCAAGACAGACAATGCTCAGGGGGAGAGGTGTCCCATTTTACAGATGGGGAACTGTGATACAGGCTGATGCATTTCTAAGTAGCTTTCTGAACACTTGGATATTTGCATACTTGCTCAGAACATCTGCAACTTTAGCTTTGCAAGGCTTTTCAGGACTTTTTACATTGTACAACACCCTTTTCGCACAGTATCTCTTTTCTCTTTGATTCTTCACCTCCCTTGAGAAAATATTTCAGGACAGACCTTTGAACATAGAGGGGGTGCTCTGTGATCACGGGCTGACATGTATGGGCCGTGTCACAGACTGAGGCTGAGGATGGATCATTTCATGGCGCACTGAGAAGGCTTATTTTGAAGTTGCTCATGTAGGTGATATTCATGTGATCTTTTGTGAAATTCTTACCACATAGCTTATCATCTCTCCTCAGCAGACTTTCTATCTGTCTGCAAGGCTGTTTTTTGATCCGTTATCTGTGAGCATTTCTTACAGGATGGAGTAAGAGAGTAAAACCCTAGAAGTTGTCAGTGATCTGAATTACAGTGATAAGACATAATGAGTTTGGAGTCCTACTCTTTCTTACCAATAGCTCATGATGGCAGCAACTAACATCCATTACCACGATATTTGTGTTAGTCTAATTCGAGATAACAGATTTCCCTTTTTATGGTTCACATTCCTTTCACTGGAAGATTGCATCCTGAGGCCACGCCGCATCCCTGGTGCAAATAGAGTATGAGAAGCGCCCTCTCCTGTGCAAAGGTTAATTGTGCAAGGGAAAGAGGGAGTGCGGCGGGATGCAAACCACCCCAGGAGGCACTAGAAGAGATGGGGAAGATGGGGAGTACTGATAGGTATCACATCCTCCAGACACTAGAAGACATGCTGGGAGATCCAGCTCCGGGGATGCTGCCACCCGTATGCATCCCCTGCACACCAAAGGGGTTCAAAAGCAGATTGCAGCTTTCTGATGCATTCCGCACCCCCACCCCCCACCCCACCCCCCCTTATTTGCTACCTTTATTTTGTGCTGGTTTGACAGTAAGACAGGTATTCCAATTTGTGAGGCAACTTTGGCATCATTTCACTATACAGAGGATGTTTCCTAAAAGAGCTATCCCACGCCGTGACCTGTAGGATGACCATACGCTCACAACGAATAGCTATTAGATTGTGGACAGTTTTGAAAGCCTTGTTCTGTTAGGTTTCACCACTCACTACCCAACAGAAATTCGACATTGGGTTGTACATGATAGCAGGGACTAAATCAGACCAGCTACAGGGTCATCAGCTGCAGATGAAACTTTGTCACGCATAGAGAGTCTGAGCTCATCCATGTATGGTTTTGCCTGTTCTGGTTTCGGCTGGGATAGACCTAATATTTTTTTCCTTCTTAATAGCTAGAATAGTGCTGTGTTTTGGATCAGTATGGGATTTGATATGAGAAGAATGTTGATAATGTACTGATGGTTTTAGTTGTTGCTAAGAAATCAAGGACTTTTCAACTTTGCATGTCCTGCTAGTGCGCAGCTACACAAGAAGCTGGGAGGGAGCACAGCCAGAGCAACGGACCCAAACTGGCCAATGGAATATTCCACATCATTTACCATCACGCTCAGTATATAGATAAGGGTTGATCGGGAAGCTGCTCTGGCTTCTGGGATTGTGATTTCAGGATTCTCTCTTCTCTGGGATCACTAGCCAGGAACAAGCTGGGCATCAGTCAGCGGGTGGTGAGCAATCACATTGCGTATCACTCATCTGTATATTTTATTATTACTATTATAATTATTATTTTAATTCTATTTTATCTAAATTATTAAATAATTTTAATCTCAACCTATGAGTCTCCTTACCCTTCCTCCTCCAATTCTCTCCCCGGTTTGCTGGAGGTGGGGGAGGTTGAGCGAGCGGCTGCGTGGTGTTTGGCAGCTGGCTGAGTTTAAACCATGACACCTGTTTTGTATAACTATCTTCTTGAAGCAAAACTTAATACTGAACATCAAAGCATTTCTTAGACAGGAATAGAGTTTTATAAGTGAGTTACCCCAAACAATTACTTTAAAAATGCAGTCTTTAGAAATAACTTAAAACTGATGAATAAAAAACCAAATCAGATATATTGTCTGCAAAAACTAGTTTGGCTAGCTGTAGTTCATAGACAGAAATTGCTCACTTCATGCTTCACAGTCATACTTAAAATAATCAGCAATTCACTTATCTCCCAGGTATATTATGAATGTCTGAGACATATGTAAAAATAAAATAATGTATTATCTATTCAGTAGCCCACTCCTCTTTAAATCAAATTATGGAAGCTGTACCTGGGTAAATGCTGAATACAGAAGAGAGTGAAATTTCTGAATCTCACCTCTGTTACACTGGTGAGCAGCTTACCTGCTCTGAGCCATACATGTGGAGACCTGGCTGTCTGAAGGTTGAACTGGGAAGCACAGCCTAGGTTCGGTTCTGTACTCTCTCCAAGTCATTTTACAGCCTAATCTGAGTTGGGGATCGGGGGACAGATCCAAATAGCTGGGCTGAGAACTGCAGATCTGATGAAGTAGCTGAACCTTTCTTCACAGCATGAAGCAGTCCTTGCAGTCTCATTGGTAATGTCCCTGCAGGTGGGAAGGGTGGGAAGATCCACACAGTCAGTCCACCCTTCCACTCTGCTCTGACCTGGGTAGTGTCCTTTGCTGTGTCTCTAACAAGTGCCCCAGGGCTGAGACCCTTCCTTTGCCCGCAAGGCACAGGTACTGTGTGACAAAACAGGTCGCATGCTTCAATCTATCACATAAGAAACAGTTGGCTTATCCAACGGGATAGTTTAGCAACGTGGAAATAGCATTTCTTGATGCCCCCACTCAGATGTAAAGCTGCTTTTCCATTTATCCAAAGAAGTCAGGATTTGCAGTTCTCCCATGTGAATACATTGCTTGGTACCCTGGCCCCTAATTCCTGTTACAGAATATTTTAGTTTGGAAAGCACCTCTGGACATCATCTAAGTCATCCTCAAAGGTGGATCAGGATGTACAGGGCCTTGTCACCCCTAAGGCTTTTATTTCAGAATGCATCTCAATAAAGAAGCTCCAAGGATTTTCATTAAGAGAAAATGCATAATGATATAGTAATTCAGAACAGCATGCAAATTGGCAAGGCAAAAGAATTACATATGTTGCATCAGACCTTGCTAATCCCTGTCCCACACACCTACGGCACCAGGCTCCAGTATTGCTTGCTTAAAGACACTCACTTTTTATCAGAGGAAAAACATCAGAGAGATTTCTAAATTCATTGAGGTGAATATTTAATTTGCATCCATTTCAATCAGTTCAGAAGCCTGTATCTTTAGTTTCTTCTAAATTCACTGCTGTTCTTCACCAGAGTTTTGCATTTAGACTATGAAAATCCTGAGGTTGGGGCAGTTTGCATATGCATCTTCAGAGATTAATCACCTATGCTCTGGCTGACTGGGCTGTTGTGAGCAATGCCAGCTGCTGATTTTTTTAGTAATTAAAAGTTTGATCTTCAGAAAAGTTACAGATATTCAGCACTTTATAGATCTCTTCTTGATACCTTAGAGAGTTTGATCTCTGGGCTGCATATGAGAATACAAAACCAGTTTGTTAATTAGCATTATGACAGAATTTCACATTTTTCCAAGAAACAGTCTGCTATTCAGTTCAGTACTATGTGAACTACTTCTGAGGACACACATGTTTCATAGGTAGATACCAGAGAAGTCATTAATACAAAAATTAAATGTATCATAAATACAATAAATTGAGGAAAGCCTTTTTGTCACCATACTACTTTGCAAAAGTGTATAAGAATAAAGCATAATATACAGAAATACCTATGGCAATTGAAAAGCATTAACAAGTATTGTATTTACATTAACACTGGCTAATGTTAGTTCAATTCAGAAATGTGAACATTAATAACAATTTAAAAAGATTACAGAAATACAACATTGCAGAAGAAACAGAATGGTGCTGTGAAACACTTTACAAACTCGGACACAAATAAACATCCAATTGATTAATGATCTTTGTTTTATTTTGGTCACATAAAAATATGAAGAAGCTGTTTAGATAAATCGTGCCAGGTTTGTATCACACATATTTTTAAAATTCTGGTTCAAAGGCACAGGAAACTACTATCAATAATTTATTTGTAGAGAAAGTGGCAGCAGCAACAACAAGATCTGCCCCAGCATAGTCTCATGTGTGCACCACCAGCATGTCCGAGGGAGCCCCCCCTTGTCAGTAGGGCACTTTGTACCGACTCCTACACACCAAAACTTGGATTGATACCAAGAGGGAACTGTTAGCTTAGTCAGAAATGAAACACAGGTTCAACAAATGCTCAGAGATGGCACAAGACCAGTTCATGACACCACCCAGAAATGTATACATCTTCTATATACTTCAGTGCATTCCAGGCTTAACTGCAAAATAAGTGTCATCTACTAATTGTAAAATATCAAGCTTTAGAACTGTACATTTTAAGAATTTCAGGACAGTGCAGGATCTTGACTAATACAGTAGAAGTACTGTTGGTCTGTTATCAGGTCACTGTTTTGCTCTTTAACTCTCTCCGGAATGTGCAAGGTAGATAAAGCTGCATACTGAAGTATTAGGAACATTTTCAAGGCTCTTGTTGAAAGACTTCCTCATTTTTAATATTTTCCACTGGTTAACCACAAACGTTAACAACCGAGTATGTGTATGAGAATCTGAACGTATACCTCCTCAAGAGCTAAAAATTTCAACCATAAAAATGAGCCCTACATTATTCTCCTCAGCAGGGATTTTTTTTGTCCATCTCAGAAGATAAAACTGGTTCTGAGTTATAGGAGGAAAAGAGCCAGTCCAAAAAATAAACTTCTAAGATTTCAATTTGAGTCAAAGTAAACTACTTAGTTTATTCCACATGTCCTTAGCAAAGCAATACTTTCACCAATGATGCTGGTGGACAAACTCTGTTGTAGGAGACAAACAGAAATACAAAGCATTGTTCCAGCAGCACCCTCAAGGAGTTGCTGGCCCGTGCGCTATGACAAGGCTTCCTACGGACGTCAGCATGGAAATACTTGTGTGCTGCAGCCTGCATCCCGCAGCTGGTGTTGGGAACTTCGTATCTGTGTTACCAGCAAACTGCTAGCTACCACCTCCTTGGTCTTTGCCACTATTACAGGTCTTCTGAATGTCAGATGAAGCCGGCATTTCTTTGTTTTCTTCTCTTAGTCCTCCTTCCTGTGATTCTTTTGACATTTTCAATTTTATGCTGTCAGACTTGTGATTAATGGATGAATTTAGCCTGGATGAGTTCAATCTCCATCTTCTCAGAGTCCTATAAAAATCTTTTCTGACGTTTTCACTAACCAGCACATAGATGATTGGATCGGCAATGCTGTTTGCAGTGGCTAAACACAGAAACACAGTAAAAATTGAATATATATCTTTTTCAAATGGACACGAGCAATTTTGATGAAACATGAAGTATATGGATCTTATTATGAGTACCACATGGTAGGGAGCAAAGCAGATCAGGAAAATTACAATAATGGCGATAGCCAGATACTTCACTTTGTCTTTTTGGCGACAAGTCAAGCTGCTGCTTGTTTTTGTACTTTGGAAAATTTTATAGTTTGTGAAAATGAGGATTGTGAAAGGTATGGCAAATCCAAATAGGAATCTGGCAAAGCTGAAAGAAGCCAATTTTATGTCAAGGGGCAAAGTCTCAAAGCAGGTCTTATGTTCTCGATAATCTTCCATGCGGAATACTGGAGTGTGGATTACTGCAACCACAGCAAAGAGAAAACACACTATTATGATTGCCTTTTTCTGTCCTCTTCTCCCCCTTGACTCCAGAGCATACACTAGTGCCACGTAACGATCCACAGAAATGCAGCACAAAAGCAGAATGCTGATGTATATGTTGCAGAAAAAGATGAATCCTGTTATTCTGCAAGCCTTTACACCCATAGTCCACTGGTGCTCATTTTGCACGTAGATAATCCAGAGAGGCAAAGTACTTAAATACATCAGCTCACACAACGATAAGCTGAAAATGTAGATGGCAATTACTTTATTCCTTTGGATTTGTACAAATGTAAGCAGGGAAGTTAAGCAATTTGCTGGAAGGCCTATGGCAAAAACGATGCTGTAAACAGCAACCAGAAGTGTCTTGCTGTCTTTGTAGGGAATTCCTGTGCAAGTGGAGCTATTATTTGTGTCTGTACAATTTTCCATTATTCTTCTTCCAGCTGATGTTTCCTGAGAATCAGAAGACAAGGTGAAAAGTTAGCATCTGCATCACTTAAAAACGTGTGAGCAAAGGTTACGGTCCCATAGGTGCCAACAGGACATGTCAGGGGAACAAGTCTGATGCTTGTCTTGGGAAAGCATCTAAGGCAAGTTTTCCAAGACCTGCTGGTCTCCTGTATTGTTCCCTGGGAGTCAGGTCTGATTTACTTCTAGGAAAAAGTGCTTTTCTTCACAAGTAATCTCTTGATTTCAGTGTACCTATTCACTAAGACAGGGTATTGGGGACTGTCCCTACACCAGGCTGCCTCATAAATAAGACAGAGCTGCTGATCAATTACTAAAGTCACTTCCCAGAGGAAATTAAAAGCATTAATCTTCAATTCATTTTTTTCAAACTGAGTAACAGAAAATGCAAACAGTAGAGGTATTGGAGTCAGACATCCAAAAGAAGCTAACATTTATGGTCAGTCAGATGGGGGAACCGCCTGAAGTGGGTGGCGGTAGTTGTGTCAGAGACCACCCAGCATGGAAGAACCAGAATCTGGCCACTGGTATGTACCTCCACACTGCTTACAACACAGTGGTTCAGATCTAGCTAATTCATACTTCTCTCTTCCCTTCTGTTAATGAATAACTGCAGATGAAGAACATAAACTTGTAGTGTGGTATAACATCCACCATAGTAAGCCAGTGAAACTGCCTACCACATCTGTTAGATGCCTCTGGGAAACAACAGGAAATAAGGGCAGCTGGAGGAAGTAAACGAGATCAAATAGAAGAATATACACATGTTTAAGAAATGGAGGCCAAGAAATTTAATGCTCTTTGAACAGGAGTGGTTGCAAAAAATTCCACCTTTCCAAGATGACCATGCACAAAAGCAGACCTGGCATTTGGTTAGTGTTAAGTAGTGCTAGGCTAAGCATTTCTTGCAAAGTCATCTTTTGACTTCCATGCAGAAGTCTTCTCCAAGTGAATAGAGGAATATGGAGGTGGGTGCACCATAATGGTGTTGTACGCCCTTAAAAATTGTACTTTGCTGTATTTATGAGTTGAAGATGTCCACTGTACAATGTCCTTAATAAAAAGAGATCGTTTGGCCTAATCTTTTGGGCATTGTCTTATGGGGTGGACACCTGCTCCAGGGAACAGCCAGCTAACTCCACAAGAAGGAGATGTCTTGACAGAGACTGAGTCTCTTCAGGCAGAGGAGGGGCATGAGCTTTCCCAGTCCACGCTGTGCATGAACAATTTCTTTAACCCTGACCTCATGCAGCAAAGAAGGTAGCTTTTAGCAGCCTTGGAACATTTATTTGTTGCTTGTTTGGGCCCATCTAAAGCAGACCAAGGAGAAATAGTCTGCTCCCGGTGCAGTGGGAGCATCTCCTGCATCTCTGGGAGGGTGGACAAGCTGGTGGGGCCATTCCTTCCCCTCTGTGTGGGCAAGAGCATTCCCTGGGATGGCACAAGCAGCTCCACCCTGAACGCCCAACAGAGCACCTGGCATGCAAGATCCCTAGAGCTTGAAGGGCAACCGGGTCCCCTGACTTAGTTTAGTTGCCAGGTGATGAGAACGGTATGAGAAAATGGACACAGGTTGCCCTAAGCTGTGAGACCCTCACAGCAGTGCCAGTGCTAGCCACAGCCATAAACTCCAAGAAAGAACCTCCTGGCCCCTGTTCAGAGGTGTTCGCTTCCATCAGGTACCTCAACACAGTCAGAGCCCACTCAGTGACAGCAGCTTCTGAGTGAAGATGCCCTGGCAAACGAGCCGAGGGGGCAGAGGCAAGTGGTACCTGCTGTCCCCGACACCAGCAGCAAGGTGAGCTGTTCTCCGGGGTGAGGGCATTTGGAAGGGGCTTCTACAGACAGAGAACTGAGAAAGCGTTCTGTGTGTGGAAGAAAGTACACTGGAGGGTGCAGCCGTGCTCTGTGACTACCTCCCACTTCCCCTCCGTGGCAAACCGTGCTCCGCTCGCGTGCTGACGGGTGGACGAGGGTTAGCAGGCAGCGGTCGCCGCTCTAGCTGGCCCAAAACGGCTTGTCAGAGGGCCACAGCCCTCCGTGTCTGAGAATCGGACTCGAGTCTGGTGGGTATGCTGAAGCCCTCTCAAGGGGGATCTGACGTTTCCTTTAGTTTCAAATGCCTCATCTTAAGAATACCTGGAGAAGAGGATCCTTGCTGCTGTGTGGGGAAGACAGCATGGAATTCAGCAGGGCTGCTGAAAGGTTTCTGCGTGAGAGGGTGTAAAGTTACTTCCCTTCTTTCCTAGCATGGAAAGTGTACTGATAGCTGGTGTTAGAAAAACGATGGCTGCGATAAGAGCTGGTGGTGACTTGAGTTTTTTGCTGCCTCTGGGCATCTGCTATCCTTGGTGAGTGAGGTGGAGTTTTCTCTGGGCCACCTACTGAACTGCTGTGTAGAGGGGATAAAAAGGGTGCTTGATTTCAGGGCCAGCAGCGGCTCTCTGCCCAGCCCTCACCTGGGACGTGGCATAGAGAGCTTGTCCTCAACTCAGACGTGTCTGACCCACACGAGAGCTGCTGTACACCTGCACACCACAGAGGGGTCTTGGAGACCTCCCCTCCTAAGGTAAAGCACAGCAGGTGAACGCAACTCGTACGCGAGGCAGATGGTGACAGCCAGGACAGGGAAGCGGCACAGTCACACGCCACCCCGGTTTCTCAGCGGCTGTCTACCCCGCGCACGCCTTAACGAAAAAACCTTCAGGAGTGGTTGAAGGCGCTCTCTCTTTGCCTCCCCCTGCGCTTTGCATACTTCTCTTGACCCTGTGTTTGTCTGAATATTCTTGTTTCTGCACTGCCTGTGCCTGCTGTTCACCACTTGTGGTGTGAAGGCATGCTGCCAGCGAGCAGCCAGCAGCGGTGCAGGGCAGGAAGGAAGTGGTAGAAGAGTTATTTTGTTGACACATGGTTCCCAATATTTCTTTCTCTTGCCTCCCTCCTTCGCCTCCTCCCTTCCTGCTCTACTCCGAGTCTCCTTCACATGGTTAGCACTCGTGAGCCCCAGGAAGGAGGTGTCTGTGACTTTTTAAGATGCCTGCACGGAGCGTGCTTTTTTTGCTTGGCTTTTGGTGTATGGCCTAAGCCCCAGGGCTGAGGCTGAGCTGAAGAGGCTTTCACCCTTAAATGACTGTCAGCTGCCAAGCACAAAACCTCAACTGACAAAGCGCAGCCGTAGATGTGACTACACTTGTAGAGAAAAACCATGTGCTGAATGCCTCTCCTGAAGGTCTGGCCTGTCAGCTCAGAAGCCTGGATCCTTCCCGGCAGTAATGCTCTATGACCCAGCCCCATACCAGGAAGGAAGAAAGAAGGGCATCCTTTTGCTCCCCTTCCTCACCTTTTCCTGGCTCTCTGCCCTGTCCAAGGAAGAGTCTTCTGGCCCTGGCCACCTGGGCATCCAGCCCCAGTTCTGAGCTTCACTCGTCTCTGCTCAGCTCTCCAGGCCTGCAGAGGTGCTTCCTCCCCAAACTGAAGATCAGAAATGAGCACTCAGCAGGCTTTGAAATTTCTCCCTATGACATTGCCCCTCTGCAATTGAATGCACACTTTTTATCTTCTTCTCGGGCCTTTAGAGTTTGTTGTTTTGATACTTGGCTCAGCCCAGAAAATTCCCAGTTCTGTCTTCTGTGGTGGTTGGGCTGTGATGGATGTATCCCCACATGTCTCAAATACAGCATTCATAACTATACTGCTTTATCTAAAGAGGCAGCTGGCTACTTGTGAGCACTTTGTTGTTGTCCCACATTGGTGCAGGACTGGAGCAGGCTAACCTGCATCTCATATACTCATTCAAATAAATAATAATTGCACGACTAAAAAAATGTACACCATTTCAGGTTTCATTTTCTGGTAGCATTTGTGTTGAACAATTTTAGTGATAGAAACATTGGTTGGAACAGCAGAACTTAAGAGATTTATCACGTCCAGCATTATAATGGGTCAAACATAGCTGTGATGCCAAGGATGAGAGATATCCATGAAAACATTTGTGAGAAACAAGCTGTTTCAGTGCATTAGGTTTTTTAGTTGCCCTGTAGCTTTCAGTTGAGCAAATCCTGTCCAAAGTAGCTGTTCTCACCTTTCTGTGACCTATCGTTTTCTTCTAGGGCTCACCAACCATTACTAGATGTTATATCATGTCCTTACATCAGGTTTACATCAACAGCTCAACGCATATTTAGCAGCACTCTGAGGCTTCTTGCTCCGTGAGGCTTACTGCACAAAACAAACCACAGTTAGCATGTGCATGTTTCTCACCTTCAAGACATGCAAAACATCTCACCTTCTGGGACAGAGGCACCACCTCTGGCTCAGGAAGAACCTGACAAATCACTGGAAGATGGGGTAAACCACTAAGGGAGATTTGCTGTGTGCCTGCTCTGTATTTACACGCTTCCCTGGCCATCTGCTTTTGGCCTAGGTTATAGCCACAGTATTGGGGTAGGTAGGCCTAGCATTTTTAATGTTGTTGTATTATATTCACACTGTTAGATGATTACATTTCTTACTCCTAAAATGGAGTGCCTACATGCTCTAACATATTGAGATCTTATGGAGAGAGACCTGGAGATGCCCAAGTAGAAAGGGTTGTGGATGGGCGTGAAATCCCATTTGAGGTGTGGTGAGAAGTGTCTTGCTGCAGACCCACCGAGCAGGGCTGTGAAACCAGGTTGAGATTAACTGCACTTCCTCACTTTTTCTTTGATCCAATGCACCTTGCATTCCTTGTGGCAGATGGCCTAGATTTACCAGGAAGAATGGAAAGGTGCTCTTTTTTAGGCTTTCCTTGAAAGTGACAGATTTCAAGTACCAAACTGGTGTCTGGTCTAGAAATCAGATCTTCCACCTTGTGGACACGGGCCAAACCACTGCTTTGCAGTGCAGGAGAGCCTGTGCAATGGTCATCTGTCCTCTCCCCTACCCAGCATCAGGGAGCATTGAACTACCCTACAGAGGTGCCCTACTCAGGTCACTGGAGGTGA